AATTCATCTTCGGCCAGACCCCTGATAGATTATCTAGTTCCAAGCAGTCAGCCCTAAACATCTGTACATATGAGTAATGCTAAATGAACTTAGCAAATTGTGAGTGCATGGGTGAGTGAGTGTGAGCGTGTGTGTGTGTGTGTGTGTGGGGTGAGTGAGTGTGAGCGTGTGTGTGTGTGTGTGTGTGTGTGTGTGTGTGTGTGTGTGTGTGTGTGTGTGTGTGTAACAATGATAAACAGGTCATGAATTTGAGAGGGGTTGAACAGGGAGAGGATATGGTTAAAATGAAAATACAGTACTCATGGATGAAAATGTCAGGCAATAATATAAGTAAAAATAAGTTTGACCACTTAAAGCATCAAAGAAAATTATCCATACAGAGAAATGTCCCAACACCAACTGCTGAATACCAGTACAGGTCTGGGATTAGTAAAGAAGGAAGAGGAGGAGGAGGAGGAAGCTGAGGGTGGGGGTGGGGTGGACCAGTGCGAAAGGAGAAGGGCAAAGAAAGAACCACCTGGGGCAGACATTCCAAAGCTGAGATCAAACAGAAACAGGAAGAAGTGCAGCAGGATTGTACTGAACTTGGGAAGAAGTCTGTGCTGGTTGGTATTTGTCAACTTGACCGACCCTACACATATCAGGGAGGAGTGGACTTTAACTGAGAAATGCCGGCGTCTGTTTAGGCTGTAGACAAATCTCTAAGACATTCTCTTTATTAATGATTGATTATGGTTAGGCCCAGCCCACTGTGGGCGGTGCCACCACTGAGTAGGTGCCCTGGGTTGTTTAAGAAAGCAAGCAGAGCAAGCCATGAAGAGCAAGGCAGTATGTATTACTCCATGGTTCTGTTTCGGTTCCTGCCCAGAGTTCCTTCATGGTGAACTGTAAGCTGTAAGAAGAGATAAACCCTTTCTTCCCCAAGTTGCTTCTGATCATGTTTATCACAGCATAGAAACCCAAGACAAAATTGAAGGAAAGGCAATACATTAACTACAATATGTCCACGGGAGAATAAATTCAAAATCTAATAAGGGCCATCGATGAAAAGGCAAATAACCAGGAGCAGGGAAGTAGGCTGCAAGAGCAAGGATGGGGGACTTAGAAAGTACCCAGTGCAACACAGGATGGAACACTGACATGCGCACCGGGGTCTCCCAAGACCATAGAGCAGCCACCATGGAAGACCCAGAACAGCTCTGAGTCACCTTGATGACATTAGACTTCAAAGGTCAGTTGTTTCTTTCTGGACCTGTAAGGGGAAAAAGGTCCCATTACTAATAAAGTTAGAACCATGTCCAAGGAAGGCTGAGATACAGGAGCACGTTTAGGACTTGAGCTGGCTAACCTGCCCTTCTAGTATCAGGTGAACAGATTGGACATATAGGGATTTAGAAGATACATACCACAAACAATTATTTTTTAATGTAGATCCAAGAAAAAAAAAGTGTTGGAAACATAAATGTAATTGTATGTCCAAACAAAGAGAAAATAGTAGTAACCTATTGCGTGTATAGTAAGTAGGAGTCATAAATACCATTTAAAAGAGACTGACCAAATAGTAAAAAATTTAAGCAAAAAAAGATTTACAATAACACACACACATACACACACACACACACACACACACACACACACACACACACACACAAATAACTTCTTGAATGAGAAACACACTTTCCTAGTCTTCGTAATACAGAGGGCAGAAATGCTACACAGAGAAAGTTTGAAAAAGAAAGGATAATTATAAAAGAACAAAGAGTTGAGTTCAGATATATTAATCATATCAGTAAACGTTGTCTTATTCAAAAGAACACTTCCCATGGCTTTTTTTGCAAAACCCAGTTCTTTTCTATATGTGAGGCACCTGTAGAGCACAGTGATCCAAAAGGGATGTGCAGCTACCGCGCCTAATGGAGAGAAGAGACCCAGCTTCAGCCTCAGTAGCACAAGTAAAATCCAAGCCTCCCACCCTCCCCAATGAACATAACAGTACACATACACACAGTGTGAAAGCCATAGTGTGGGAAGCTCTGTTTTCAATGTGTCTCCTAACACAGCAAGTATGGCAGTGCACAGTTTCTGTAGAGCATTAGAAGAAGACATAGAGGAGCCGGGGTGCTGGGATTCTAACACTCCAAGTTCAAGACCTGCCTGGGCCAGCCAGGGCTACACAGGAAGACTTTATTTCAAAAAACACAAGACGAAGAACAAACTTTTAAACACATCATAGTACAAGTCTGGTAGAAACACATAGATAATCGGACATATTTCTTGCCCAAGCCCAGAATCAGCTGTTTTGTTCCGTTTCTTTTTTTTGTTTTGTTTTGTTTTTCGAGACAGGGTTTCTCTGTGTAGCTTTGCGCCTTTCCTGGATCTCGCTCTGTAGACCAGGCTGGCCTTGAACTCACAAAGATCTGCCTGCCTCTGCCTCCTGAGTGCTGGGATTAAAGGCGTGCGCCACCACCGCCCGGCCTTGTTCCGTTTCTTGAACTTGGGAGAACTGATACTTTGAGATCAACTCAGCTCAGTGTTAGGGTTACTCACATGCACTTGAGTGATTTGTGTCTTTTTTTTTTTTTTTTTTAAGAGAAAAGGCATCAGTAGTTCATGTTGATATTCCTAATTGAAATTTAGAATTACAGAAGTTTTTTGGTTTTTTGTTTTGTTTTGTTGTTGTTGTTTTTATGTCTGTATCCCTTTGTGCCAAAGCACTAAGTTCCAATTTTCAGGTCCAAAGGAAACTCCAATTCCCCAAACTCCAAACAGCAGTCAGATATCTAGAAATGAAGTCAGCCTGGACTATGGAAAGCTTTCTGGTGGTTAAATAAAGCCAGCATTCCTCAGGAACTTGTGAAGCCAGTTCTCACCTGCCAGAAGGAGCCATTTCCCTTACCTCTGGCATCAGGGACATTTGGCTCTTCAGTGTGGCCCTATCAGCATATCAAGGTCCAATTAGCATAGCTGTGATGCCTATCAGTGTACCTAGATCAGTGGCAGCCTCCAGGCTCCCTCAGTCTCTACTCACTAGTCTGTGTTATACATTTCAAAGCTCCCAAACCAGTCTCCTGCCGCCCGCCCCTTCATCCTCCTTATAACCCAGCTATTCTCACAGGTCTCAGCCCTTGCTGTGCTCTCTCTGCTTTCTCCAGCCTCTATCCCCTGCTGTTCTCCCCTTCCTGCAGATAGCCCTGACTGTCCACTTCTTTTTCTCTCTTGTTCTGGACTCCTCCAGATGCCTCTGGCTGTTTTTTCTCATGGATAGTTTCCCTCTTTTATGCACAGTAAGACCTAATCATACCATAAAGTGTTCACACTATCACTTTATACACTAATGATATTGACAAAACTAATACATTCATCAGAGCCTACAGTTTCAAATTAGCTGTGTTGTTATGACTAAAAATGGGACTATTGGAAAGTTTAAGGTATATTTTTGTTTTGCCTGTAGATTATTTCCGTGTGTGTGTGTGTGTGTGTGTGTGTGTGTGTGTGTGTGTGTGTGTTTCATTTTGCTTCTACTTTTAGGGTAATGTTAGTTTAATTCTGGTTGATTTCTTTTGTTGTTGTTTTTGAGGGGGCAGTTATTATTTGCTTTGGTTTTGTTGTTGTTGTTTTTTGTTTTTGTTTTTTTTGGTAGTACTGAGAGTTGAACTGAGGACCTGGTGTGTTTTCTGCAAGTACTTTGCTACTATAGTACTTGTAGCCCTGTGTTTGCTTTTTTTGTAAGCATTTTTAGGATTCAAGATGACTACTCGTGAGGTTTATTTAAAGTAAACAAAGGTCTTAGGCTTCTGGTAACAGTATTTATTTAAAAAATGTTATTCAATAAATTTTCCTAAATGGATGAGAAATTTACTATAATTGCCTTATTTTTCCTGTGTTCTACCTGGAAACACATGTATTCCAACATGGCCTAAAAAGCTCAGCCTTGCATGTACAGTTTCTAAACACTGCATCTGGGATATCACCTTAATATAAGGCTGTCTTCGTTGGCGTTTGTATTGCTGTGAAGAGACACATGACCACTGCAACTCTTCTTTTTTTTTTTTTGGTTTTTTGAGACAGGGTTTTCCCGTGTAGTTTTGGTGCCTGTCCTGGCTCTCGCTCTGTAGACCAGGCTGGCCTCGAACTCACAGAGATACGCCTGGCTCTGCCTCCCAAGTGCTGAGATTAGAGGTGTGTACCACCACCACCCGGCATCACTGCAGCTCTTGTAAAGAAAACATTTAATTGGGGGTGCCTTACAGTTTCAGAGGTTCAGTCCATTATCATCATGGTGGGGAGCATGGCGGTGTGCAGACAAATATGGTACTGGCTACCTCTTGATATGCAAGCAACAGGAAGTCAACTGAGACACTAGGTGGTATCCTCAGCATAGGAAACCTCAGAGCCCACTCCCACAGTGACACACTTCCTCCAACAAGGCCATACCCACTTCAGTAAAGCCACACTCACAGCTCCCAATAGTGCTACTCCCTAGGAGATTATGGGGGCCAATTGCATTCAGACTACCACAAAGGCTTTTGAACTATCAACAAAGTCTTACAGGAAAGCCTTTAGCCTCCAATTTGGTTATTTAGGGCCTCAAATGTATAGACAGTTGCTCATCTGTCTTCTGAATGGTAAAGCAGCTTAGGTGTAGTGTGTAGGATGTAGTGTGTGGGATAACTTAGTCTTGGTGTCTGTAAAGTACTCTAGCCAGGGGTGGTGTCTCACCCTTGCCAACCTGGCACTCAGGAGGCAGAGGTCAGAGAGAAGCTGCAGGCATGAAGCCAGCCTGGTCTACCCCATGAGTTCCAGGCCAGCCAAGGCTCCAGCGTGAGACCGTGACTGAAATGAAGAGGAAAATTACACCCTGACTTGAAATCTGGATTTATTTCTACCTTAAATGACTATATTGGGTCATTAAAGTCTGTTTGGAGAATCACAATAGTAGAATGTAAGATTGTAGCTAAGTCTCCTTTTGAGATGCTGACCTTGTGATGTCTCTTTTTCAGAAGCTGATAAAATACCAGTAATGCGTGGACAGTGGTTTATTGATGGGACTTGGCAGCCTCTAGAAGAAGAAGAAAGTAATTTAATCGAGCAAGAACATCTCAGTTGCTTTAGAGGTCAGCAGATGCAAGAAAACTTTGATATTGAAGTGTCAAAACCCATAGATGGAAAAGATGGTAAGATGACCAGTTAATACATTTAATAACGTTCTGTAAAAGTAAGTAAGCAAGCAATCGATGATTCATAGAGTAGTTGGTAAGTTTGGTAACAGTAACTCAGGAGGGGTTAGAATTTATTAAATTTGACATTATTTGAAGTGCTAGGGGTCAGGCCTTATGCATACTAGGCAAGTGTACTACCCCTAAACTATATCCCCTAGCTCTAAAATTTGGTTTTTTAAATACTTTACTATTCTAGAATTTAAAGTTACTATGAATTTCTGGATTATCTTACTTAGTACATAGGTTTTATTGCATGGTATTAACAAAATATATAATATTGGTACAAATTGTTTATATTATACTCCAAGTTAGTCATTTAGGGTAATTTGAGTTATCACTGAAAATAGAACTTATTTTAAAAAATTCTTGCTGTTATATTAAAAGAGCACTTTTATTAGTATTTCAATATTGATTCTTTTCGTGAGTTTTAAAAGTCAGCATTACTTTTGTGTGTCTTTTACCTCTCTTTGGAAGATAAATACCAGTTTTTAATTTAAAACATTATTCTTCTTAGAGTTCCTTACTCAGCAAGTAAATATGTTTCAACAGTTAGAATGTTATATAATAGCCAAGGTTGCCATGTTTTCAGTATGTGTCTGAATCTTGAATAAACCTCAAAGTATGTGGTAAAGTTAAAAATCCTTCTATTATTCCATTTAATGCAGGCAGTGGGATCAACTATTCTGGTGAGTACAATGTCCAGGTAGCTTAGACTATATAGATACTTAGAGTGTTTCTTCCTCTGTGCTTGCCTTTGTTTGGGAGGCTTTTGGCAAGCCCTGCTGAACCCAGATGAAGTGCGACTTGGGTCATCCTTTTCCTTTCCCCATAAAACCTCTCTAAAGGCAAGAAGCCCAGTATTGATCAGGTAATTCACAGAATGTCGTTCTTCACTGTCTTCAGACCTTGATCCAGTTTCTTCTCTTGTGGTCCATTGTTTTCCTCTCTGCTTCTGTTCTTAACTGTCTATCATGTCACTGAACACACATAAGCACATGCATTGGTCACAAGAAAAGAAGCTGTAACACTCACTACCTTAGCTCCTGTGTCTACTCAGTTAAGTCTGGTTAACTGATAAATTTCCAGTGAAATCTATCGTTATGTGATGCTTTACAATTGGCAGGTCCAACTCTGAGTTTTAAATACATTACCTCATTTTATTAATTTGTAGACTCAAGTATATCCTTATTTTGCTGTAGATTTAGGCTAAAGGTTTTACCCGTCAGTGTAGAAAAAGTGGTTCTCTGTAAGAGCTGTGGCTGCTGATGCCTGCAGCTAAGATTTTAATAACTAGAGAAGTAGTATTGCTCTCTTGTGCAGCAGGAATTGAAAATGTATCTGTGATTTGAAGTTAAGGAATGAAATCTCTTACCACTATGACCAGAATCACCACAAACCTACTTCCGTGTGTGAATGACAGAAACTTCAGCCTAAAACATTGTTATTAGAGAAAGTGCAGTTTGGGAACTGTTTTCTTCCTTAAGTTTTCTACCTTAAAAATAGCAATTCGTATAACAAACATAGTTTTTGTCACCCCAGTTCCTTACTGTTAGTGCTTGAAAGCCCCGGGACATGGAGGAAGGGCGGGGAATATGCAAACTATGAGGAAGTTGTCCCCTTCCTCATCCTATTCTTCCCCTTTTGTGGAGTTATTGTCTGTCATCCCTGCATCTCACTGGTTTAGAATCATATGCACAATAAAATTAATTTTCATGTCAACTCTATATTCTGCTCCCTTTCTAAATATTAAATGTAACAAATACTTCAGTCTTCTGCAAAGTACCCAAACTTGGTATTCGTAAGAACACAGTTTATGCTGGACAGTGGTGGCGCATGCCTTTACTCCCAGTACTTGGGAGGCAGAGTCAGTTAGATCTCTGTGAGTTCAAGGCCAGCCTGGTCTACAGTGTGAGTTCCAGGACTGCTGGGTCTACACAGAGAAACCCTGTTTGTGGGGTAAAAAAAAGAACACAGTTTATTTGTAAGAGTAGGTTTTTCTCTGTGTGTGTTGGAGGGGGGTAAATCTCAACTAGTGAAACAATATTGTTTGGTATCTTTAAGGATCCACATGAAATTCTAATTAGAAATAACATGTTCATCTGGGCATGGTGGTACACACCTTTAATAGCAAGTTCCAGGATAATCAGGGCTATATCAAAAGGGAGAGAAAGAGAGTGGAAAGAAAAAAGAAATAATGTATTAAATTGTCATAATTTAAAATGATTCCTTGACACTCATTAGAAGAAAATTTTATTTATATATGTGTTTTATTTATTTATTATTTAGTCTTTTAAGACAGAGTCCCTCTGTGTAGCCCTTGTAGACTATACTGGCCTTGAACTCACAGAGATCCACCTGCCTCTGCCTTGGGTAATGGGTTTAAAGGTATGTGCCACCACTGCCTCACAAATTTTTATTGTTGTTGTTGATCTGGTTTTTTTTTTTTTTTTTTTTTTTTTTTTTTTTTTTTATGGAAACGGTGTCATGTAGTCCCAGTTGGCCTTGACTTCTGTATGTGGTTGAGTGTGACCTCTTAACCTCTAACCACCCAAGTGCTAAGATTACAAGCATATACCACCACTCCGGTTTGTGATGAGAATGTTAGTTGCATTGTGATATATAGATAAAGATTTATCATATTGTTAGTTCAATAATTTTCAGTCCTTTCATCTATTATTTGGTATTATGATAAATATATACTCAGAGGTTAAGGTGTGACACTTAACTTTGAAGATCATGGGAAATTTGGTAGTGTGTTTTACAGTGATATTATAGAAACAACATTTACCCTCCAAAAAGCCACCATTTAGGGGAAAATAACTCAAACTTAAAACATTTAACAAAAAAATATATACTCCTGATTATTTCGTCTTTCTTTCTAAACTTCTGAAATTTTCTATTTCACTCTTTTTGGTGTGAAAAATACCCTTTTCAACTAAATATTTTCATGTGGTGATAAAGCTTTGGCTCTTCCTTTGGAAAGATTGTCAATGCCTGCCGGTTCTGCTAGGCAGTTTTGTAGGAGAAATACAAAGGCATCCACCCACGGAGTTTTCAGGGTATCTTAGAGAAGAGAGAGCCAGCAGGACAGTGAGCAGGTTGAGTGCAAAGTGGCACAGCAGACAGTGGACCCAGACAGTTTGGAAGAAAGTGCCATGGAGTTATTAACAGGCTGTCTGAAGAGTCTCGTCCAATAAATACAAATGTTTAAAAATATTAGAGCAGGAACTCTTCCAGTATTTTATGGAATCCCAAAGAAATGAAGTTCTTGCCTTTGGGAGCATTAAAATAAGATATAACTTCCCACTTTTTTGACCATGTCCATTTAGTGTAAGTGTTGCCACAGATGGATTGGATATGTTTTAAGTTTTTACCTCCTTTAGATTTTCATATTAATCTGAAGATAAACATTGAACTAGATTGATGGAAGTCTGGTATAACTATCCAAATAAAGATAACCTGCTTTGTGACTTAGATCCTTGAAACTTAATTCTCTGAGAACTAAAATGAAAATACTCTCCTACCTCATCTAATAGCCAGGGGGGATAAATTATCTGTATGTGTGTGGCTGAGTGTATTTATGTGTACCACCTGTGTGCCCAACGGGGTCAGAAAAGGCTGCCATTTGGGTGCTGGGAACCAAACTCAGGTCCTCAGCAAGAGCAGTAAGCACTCTTAACCACTGGGCCTTCTCTCCAACCCCAAGGCTAGGAAATTTTTATCTAACACAGTAACTAATCTGAGCCCATCCATTTACTTAAGATGACTAATATAAATAAAATTGTGCCTTCAAATTAGTAATTCTTGCCAGGTAGTGGTGGCACCCACCTTTAATCCCAGCATTCAGCAGGTAGGAACAGGTGGATCTCTGAGTTTGAGGACAGCCTGGTCTGCAGAGCAAATTCCCGGGCTATCAGAGAAACTCCTGAGACAGGCTACCCTGTCTCGAAAAACAAAGCAAAATTTGTAAACACATTTAGTGCTCAATTGTTGTTTCGTTCCCTTACAGTTTATCCAAGCATATACAGTAGTTTTTAAAAGCTGACCTAAATGTATTAATATTGTGCATCACTCTGGCCACAAACTGCACAACCTCGATTTTGTGGTAAAAGAAACATGAGACAAACGAGCTGAGGCTCTTCTACCACATCACAAATAGATGTCTGGCCACAAACTGCACAACCTCGATTTTGTGGTAAAAGAAACATGAGACAAACGAGCTGAGGCTCTTCTACCACATCACAAATAGATGTTCCTGCTGTGCTCAGACTTCCTCACCTGGTGTTCTCGATGGGGTCCTAGAACAGAAAACCCAAGAGTTTGAGGATAGCCTGGTCTACATAGCCTGTGCCAGGCCAGCCAGGGCTACAGAGTGAGTGAGACTCTATCTCAAAAGAGAGAGAGAGAGAGAGAGAGAGAGAGAGAGATGAAGTGGAGGTGTTCTGGCCCCTGAACCAGCTTTCTCCTCTGTCTTTGTGACTGAAGATTCCCATCTTCTAGTTTGGGGTTGTGACTTTATTATTTAATTTTTTTTATCAGTTGTTCAAATTAATTTACCTGAGGTCCAAGAAAGAGTGCTAGAGTTTGGTTGTACTTAGCAAGTTTGAGATGCACAAGGCCACCTGCTTTCCCTGAGAGAAAGAATTTTCCAGATCAATGCTAGGCATCATGGGACATATCTGGACTCTGATTGCTTGGAAGGAAAGAGCAAGGCATCCTCTGAGGCAGCCTGGGCAAGCCGCTGTCTAAAAGAAGAGTACTGGTTTTCCAGACAGTTGGCTTTCATAAAGGAAAAAGTAGTTGTGTATCTCTCTTGTAGAAACTGTTATTCTATTCTTTTTTTTTTTGGATAAACTTACTGTATTCAGAGTTACATGGTGAAGAAAGTTTCTAAGAGATTAATTAGTAAGGAAATGATTCTAAATAATTTAACATTTCAGTCGTTTTTCATTACCGAACAAGACTTTAATATGTAAATGTCTTATTTAATGCTCTCAACTTACACCCTCACACCTTCAGTTGTACTGGGAATTTATGAATACTTTTGTAATACTACATAGGAGCTACTAAACAAAATGTATTTTAACAAAAGGAACTAGAACTGCCTAGAACCTAAGCCTCCTTTACCTGTAAGTGATCTCTAGTTTGTAAAGGGTTTCTTCTGTGAAAAGTAATACCTGTAATTCTGTGTTTGGGCTTCAAAGAATTAAGCTCTGTAGCAAATGGTTTTCAAATGAAAATAAGATATAAAGGTAAAGAACCATAACCATTTAATTTTATAAAAAGGTTTTAAATAAGTACAATTTTCTGTTGGGAGCAGAAAGCTGTGTAGTGATGTTTGTTTATCTTTGTAGAGTTAAGCTGTTGTTTTTAAAAGGCAGGAATTCATCATTGTGTCTGACCAGCTTTCTGAAAGTGCTTACAAAATTTTATAATGTCAGGTGGCCTATATGTGTCCTGAGAGCTCTTTTGGGTAAATGTGGGATTTGGTTCAGATTCGTTTTACCACTGGACCTACAAAATCTAGTCTTTGTTTCTTTATACAAGTTTATATTGGTCTGACCTCTTAGCTGTACTAGCAGCTTTTCCTAGTTTATTTGGTTTAACGCCTTTGCTGGCCTAAGTATACCTCTGCTCCTGACTGACCAGAAGGCACATGAAAGAACATGGGCAGGAAGAAACCTGCTTCCGAGTCCTTTTTTCCTGTGTCAGAGGCGTTCTATAGTTCTGCTGTCCTCCAGCTTTTAGCCCTAGTTTATAGTCCTAAAGCCATCTAGTTGCATGTAGGTGTAGTAATTTAATGTGTAGGTGTAGTTGTTAATGCTTTGTAAGAATTTCCCAAAAACCCTTATTGCATAAATATTTGCATATACTTTGATTGTATATACAACAGAAATTAAAGATTTTTTTTTCATTTGAGCAATATTTAACCTTTGAATGTCAAATTCATGTAGATGGGAGTGAGGGTGAAAATTGAATGTATTAAAACATAAATTTTAGCTAAATCATAAAAATTTGATAATTACCTGACGTAGTAAACTGATTTTTAAAATTTAGTTTCAAGTATACTAAATAATTACTTAAATATAAGGAATGTTATCAGCGATATATAACTAGCAGATTCGACAAGGAACATGTTGGCTTTAAGGTTATCTACTGATTCGTCAAATCTCCAGTCCGCCTGGCTTTTCTGTGCTGTCTGCTTAATGCCTACAAGGTAGCACAGCGTATGTTTTTCTAATGAGATTATTTTTGTTATGTTATCATTAATCTTTCCAAAAGGGATAGTTGAAAGTTGAGCCTCCAATATGATTTCCTTAGAAAAATTTTCACTTTTAAGTCTTTTAACAACTTTCTCAATTGAGATAGGAAGCCTTGCTTTTAACGAATCTTAAAGCCATCATACCTTAGTATGGAGAGCATTCAGTGGACTGTATACTGTGGTATCTCAGGGGAGCTGAATTAGCTGTTTAAAATATGGTTGTATTCTCAAATTGTGTATCACCTCTTGGCTATGTCATCACAAATAAAGATAGAGTTCATAAATCTCTTAGCATTCAAAAATGCCATGCATTTCTTGTAGCTATGCAAAGGAATTAAATAATGATCATGTAATTGTCTGTCACTGATAAATTTGTTCCTTTCAATACAAGTAGAGCATATATTTGACAGACATTAAACTAATTTTTGTTTTACCAATTTTTAGCTAGAAATTATATTTTAAAAAGCATTTAGAGTAATGTTTGTCAAATGTAGTTTTTAAAAGTTAAGACTAAAAGGAAAAGGCTAAATAGAAAAACTCACTTAAATGTACTTTGAAGCTCAGTGTTTTTGCTTTCTTAGTTGTCTACCACCTCCCTCCCTTCACCCTCCCTTCTCTGTTCAAATGGAGAGGATATAAGGAGAGTACAGATGCCACAGGTCTTAAGCGAAAGCGTTCCCAAGGTACAGTAACCGTAGTTTCTCTGTGTAGCTCACACCAGCTGTAGTTCAGTTGTGCTTAAAGCTTAGAAGTACTAGTTTTTTCTGAAAATGTCTCTGTTGCGCTGTTTGGCTTAGTTTTACATTATTATACGTATATATAAAAAACTGTATTCCATTACGGTGTTTGAATATTAGGATGTTCCACTTTAAGACAATATATAAATGATTGGCAGAGGAACAAACTTTGGCTAGATTTATACTTTTCTCTAAATATTTGATCATATAGTTTCAGTCTTTTAAACATATGGAACTCAGAACTATATTAACAATAATTTGTTTTGTAAATGGTTATTAAGCCCTTGCAAAAGTTATTAAACCCTTTTAATTTATGAAAAGCTTTTAAATTAAAAGTCTGAGCCTGAGGTTGCATTGTGTGGAACTAAAGCTGTTAGTGTGTGTTGTGTTAATTGAATCTTAGTCCTGTGAGAGATACATTCACACAACACACACACACGTACACACACACACATATGTACAAGTCATTAACATATCCTGAGAGGTAAGTAAAATATAATTGGTTTTCATCAAACTAAGTTACTTGTTAATTTAAGAACTAGATTTTCTTGTAGTGTGCCATGTCTTCTCAGGGGGAACACGCTACTTCAGCATGTCTTACAGTCTTGACCAGGACTATACCGTCTTACATAGAATGTATTCTTAATTCTTAAAACAATTCATCTTTAGGTAAAACAGGTGTACCCTGCCAATCACAGTTTTTGAGCAAATCGGTCTCTTTTTTGTTTCACATTGAGTGAAATTTTTACATATCCTAATATTTTTAATAAAATCAACAGAGGGGTAGAACTTAAGTTTCTATGTCAGAGCTATTGAAAACTTTTAAATAGGTGTGTACCCCACAGAAAGAGGAGCCATACCCCTGGGGATGCAACTCCTTCATAATCAAAAGCCATTTCACCCACATCCAAGAGGTCAATATCATGCAGTCATGCCGGTCACTCTGCTGTTCCTCGCAGCATTGCTGATCTTTTATAAAGGTCTGTGTATTGCTTATGTGACAGATGGTTTTAATGAAATTTTCTCTACTGAACTAAAGCACATGGTATCTGAGTTAGGTAATAGTGATTCAGAAACCTGAGTGTTAGGATTTTCTACGCAAAGAAAATCTGTCTTGGAGAACTTGAAATTCCTCTCTTTTGTACAACAGCTGTTCATAGTTTCAAACTGAGTCGGAATCATGTGGATTGGCACAGCATGGATGAGGTGTATCTCTACAGTGATGCCACGACATCCAAGATCGCAAGGACTGTAACCCAGAAACTGGGGTTTTCTAAAGGTATTGTTACACGTCACTGCGTGTTCTCAAAAGTATATCATTCATGTTCTGTTTTTATTGTATTTTTAAGTAGAAGTTAAATTCAGTGACAAGAACCCTGTTGAGCAAAACTTACTAACTCATAACTATGTGAAAGCAGTCTACCTCGAGACAGTGAAACCTGAACATGGCACTTGGTACATGGCATAAAGGAAGGGGAGGCTGAAAGTGTCTTCAGGGACAGTGGGTTTGGGGACTGGAATTGTTGGGAAAGAAGCCATATTGTCACAGATTCATTTTCAGTGGAGGAGGGAGTAGTGGTTGTGGGAAAGACAACACAACTTTTTGTAGAACTTTGCTAAAGGAATTGCTTCTTGGCCTTTTACAGATTAAAGTAGTTTTATTTATTTATCTATCTATCTATTTATTTATTTTATTTATTCTAGGGATTTTGGGGGCGGGGGTTGGGGGAGGGTTTTGAGACAGGGTTTCTCTGTGTAATAGCCTTGGCTGTCCTGGAACTCACTCTGTAGATTGAGGCTGGCCACAGCCTGCCTCTGCCTCCCGAGTGCTGAGATTAAAGATGTGCACCACCATTGCCCTGTGAAGTAGTCTTACTAAAGAAAAAGGAAGGGTTGGGTAGATGGCTCTATAGAGAAAAAGCACTTGTCACTCAAGTGTGATGCCCTGCGTTCAAAGTCTCAGAAGCCACATAAAAGCTAGATGCATAGTATGCATCCGCAGTCCTCGCACTACTACAGCAAGACAGAGGGCTGGGACGGATTCCGGGAAGCTCAGCGCCAGCTACCCTAGCATCATGCAGCAGAGAACCAGAGGCTGCTTTGTGGAAAGTAAGCACCGAACACCTGAGGCTGTCCCCTGACCTCTCACATGCTTCCCATATGTCGTCTCTCTCCATCTCTCTCTCTGTCTCTCTCTCTGTCTCTCTCTCTGTCTCTCTCTCTCTCTCTCTCTCTCTCTCTCACTCACACACACACACACACACACACACACACAGATAATTTTTTTTAAAATGAGTGTTTAGGGAAGATAGAGTATCCTCAATAAGTTTGAAAATTCATTTTTAAATCTAATAAAATGTTATTATGTCATTTTAATTTATTTGTTATAAATGTAGCTGAATATTTTATATGTTTATAGTTGTATTCATTTTGTGGAGTACCTTTTTACGTCTTCAGCTCAAAATATTAATTGAATGTGTGTACTTTTTGTTTGTTTGTTTGTTTGTTTTTCGAGACAGGGTTTCTCTGTAGTTTTGCGCCTTTCCTGGAACTCACTTTGTAGACCAGGCTGGCCTCGAACTCACAGAGATCCTCCTGCCTCTGCCTCCCGAGTGCTGGGATTAAAGGCGTGCGCCACCACCGCCCGGCGAATGTGTGTACTTTTTGACTAGCAAGCTCTCTTTGACTTTTTTTTTTTTTTTTTTTTTTTTTTTTTTTTTGAGACAGGGTCTCACTGTATATCCCTGGCTATTCTGGAACTCACTGTGTAGTCCAGGCTGGCCTTATACTCACAGACATCAACCTGCCTTTACCTCCCAAGTGCTAGGATTAAAGGTGTATGCCACCATACCTGGTATATTTTTTAATATAGGTTTTTTTTTATTATTCTATATTCTGTTTATCCTTTTATTTTCCTAGTGGTTTCTGGCTTTTCTGTTGTATTCACTTCATTTTATGTCTGTCAGTCAATAGATATTATCTTACAAACTTTATTTTCTCTTTCTATACCCAGTGAAATATTTTCTTAGATTCTTATCATTACTACTTTTTCTTTCTTTAAACATATTTTACAATACAACTTCCCAAGTACTAAACTTAGGGCCATAATTTCCCTACAGCCTCCAGTAGTGGGACCAGACTTCATAGAGGTTATGTAGAAGAAGCCACGCTAGAAGACAAGCCCTCACAGACTTCTCATATCGTGTTTGTTGTGCATGGCATTGGACAGAAGATGGACCAAGGAAGAATTATAAAAAACACAGCCATGTGAGTTCTCTGCAGACAGAGTCCCAGCTTCTGCCTAAGGCAAAGCAGATCCACAGAGGTTCAACTCCATGTTTTCCTGGTGCCAACTCTTCTAATACCATTGATGTTTCTGGATGAAACCAAGAGTGACTGTATGTTGATAATATGTGACTTTTACCTCCATTGTGATTTTAAAAAGAATAGCCTTAATTAACATATTAATTTAGGGTTGAGAGCAGGAAAAGAACTGGTTTTAAGTTTGTTGGTTGCTCTCTGAGCTTCAGAAATTGAGAATCTCCAAAGTTGTCCAACTCTGAGGAGATTAAGAATTGTTTAAACTGACAGTTTTCAATATAATCTGCCCACTAATTGCTCCCAGAGGAAACAACTCCAGATTGTACACAGAAGTCTGGATACTTAACACACAGGCAGTTTGTTCCTCTTCTTAACTGACAGGCGGCACTCAGCTTTACTCTAAACCCTCTCTAGGAGCTTATTGGGATGTGTGTGGGGCCTGTGTGTTTCAGAAGTTAAGTGCTGTGTTAGAGGGGTTTTGGTTAAAGTTTCCGCCTTAGACCTGGCTCTTTACCAGTGGTCCCGACAAAGCAGAACTGATGAGGCACAGGCTCCTAACATAGTGAGAACAAACAGTTACTGTAGAAAGCACACTGACCGCTCCGGAGGCTGCCAGTCAAATTCGTCATCCGTGAAGTAAGTGTTGTTTGACTCTAGGAAGTAGATCCTCGGTAGCCTGCATGTGCAGGTGTGGAGCTTGCTGCACTCTGTAAGATCATCATGCCCACAGAGGCTTAAAGTAAAATCGCATGCAGCTCAAGTTGTGGTGGTGCTGGAGACTGGGAGGCTCCCTTAGTTTTCTCAATCCCTTGTTTTCTCTTATAGGCATCTCGTAGCTCTAATTCTGACTTTGTTTTATGATGATCCATATATGACTTGGCATGATAATTATGTCCTGATGCATCCTTTGCTTAAATATCAAGGACCATGAGAATTGGTTTGCTGGCATATCCTCCTTGAGATCATTAGTAAAACAGAAGTTTAATTTCTTCAGGTACAAGTAAGGCAAAACCTAACACAAAAAGGCTGAAAAAAGCCTGTGGAGTCTTTCCAAACTCACTGACCTCTGCTCAGCCCCCCATTTCATACCACCTTACAGGATCTGTGCAATAGATGTTATTGTTATTCACAATAACATCACATGGATGCAATTAGTAAACAGACTATAGGAAACTCCATAGGGGGTGGGGGGGGCTGTAAATTAACAACAGCTGTGACCTATCTACCATCTGCAGTGAATGTACTACAGTATTTGGAACATAAACAAACATAAAATGTTTTAATGTTATTGTGAAATAGTTCTTATAGTCAGTTGGGGAAATGAGGCTGCTGAACTACATATTTGCTAAAATTAAAAATTACTTGATTGCAATACGTTAATATTGAATAGATGTTATTTTAGAAAATTATGCTATTTGGAGATAAGATGGCTAGGGATGAAGCTCAGTGGTAGAACATTTACCTTACATGTGCAAGGTATAACTCAGTGGTAAAGCAATTGCCTCAAGTATTTGAAACCTGAGTTCAGTGTTTGTATGAAGAAATAAAAAGGTGTGGTATTTGGGATTTGCTTTAAACCATGAAGGGAAGGTATACCTGTTGAAGGGACAGCATGAGAGAATTTTTCACTGTGAACCTCTGAGTATCTTCATTATGTCGTGATGATCAAAATCCTATCTGTAGTAGAATTCATGTAATTGGCAAAAGGAAAGCTGTAAGTTCATTGATACCTTAATTTTCAAAGTAAAAAAAATGAAATTTGCATTATAAAGAGTTAAAGGGGGCAGAAAGATTGCAAGAGCCAGAGGACCAGGAAGTCTTCTGCAAGATAGTGTCTTCTAGCTATGACTGGGAAGCTACGCCCATGAGACCTCAACAGTATGGCTGCCTGAACAAGACCTGAATAGTGGCACCACCACTAGACATGCCAGCGTGGATGAGGAAACTCATGGGGGACCATTACTAGATGAAGAGCTACAGGCAATTAACTATTTCAGAGAGAGAAAAAAATTAGTAACCCCAGGATGAGCCCCCTCATTGGTTATCCCATACCATGTGGTCAGACCTAAAATTATATGTGTAAGCAAGACTGAACAGACTCAGCAGGTTGTATTTATATATTTATTCATTCGTGTGTATGTGTGTAACAATATAGTTCGAAGAAAAGAGACCATAAATTGAGGGAGTAGGAGAGGCGAGTACAGGGATATGAGAGGAGCTAGAGGGAAGAAAGGGAGGGGAAAGGAAATGATGCCGTTATGTATTAATTAAAAATACAATTGTTTAAAGGAGATGAAATGAGATGTGTGGAGATGAGCGAAAGCACGGATGTGTTCATTATGCTCTTACATCCCTGAAGAGCTGTGTCATTTAGAATGTAATGTAAGTGGGAGCGTCTGAAGTCCCGAGTGACAGACAGGAAAGTCACTGAGGCAAAGCTGTGCTAGTGTAGCCAGCGTAGTGTCAGCCAAGAGACGCAGCTGGACAGAGCTGCCAGGAGATCCGGGAAGTCATTCTCAAGTGTGTCTTACGTTTCTTTCTTTTTTAGGATGAGAGAGGCAGCGAGAAAAATAGAAGAGAGGCATTTTTCCAACCATGCAACACACGTTGAGTTTCTGCCTGTTGAATGGCGGTCAAAGCTTACTCTTGATGGAGGTATCGTTTGTTTTAAAATGGAATGATTTTAACCAAAGACAAAGCTTTACTAGAGTAAATATACAGTTTTAGAAATATTTTTATTAAGAACAAAATCCTGGCCATGTTTGATGGCATAATATGCCTTTAATCCCAACACTTATGGGTGGGAAGGATAAAGGCAGGTCGGTTTCTGTGAGTTCAAGCCTAGCCTGGTTGATACAGCAAGTTCCAGACCAGCTGAACACACATGGACAGACACACCACAGGAACAAAATCTTTTAGTTGTCTTAGGGTATATTCACTTTTTGTTCCAGATTATTCAAGAACATATTTGAGGGAAAAAAGCTGATTTTAAAATTAACAAAATTGACTTGTGTCTTTGGACTGTCATGTAGACTTCACAAATAGCATGTTTGTGTGTGTGTGTGCTTTGTGCTTTGGAGGTAGAGGAAGGAGATCTAGGTCTGTGTGACAGTGACAGCCACCTTCATTACAGTGGTACACTGCCCCGGGTGCAGCCACAGAGTCTTCCGGGTCTGTGTTACTATCTCATAGTTAGCAATGTCAACTAGAACATTGTACTCCAAAATTGTATGAGCATCAAAAATTGTAGTGAACTTTTTAAGAAATAAGTATGTCTTAGTTAGGGTTTCTATTGCTGTGAAGAGACACCATGACCACAGCAACTCTTATAAAGGAAAAACATTTAAGTGGGGTGGCTTACAGTTTCAGAGTTTTAATCCATTATCATCATGGTGGGACATGGCTGCATGCAGGCAGACATGGTGCTGGAGAAGTGGCAGAGTGTCCTACATCTTGACTTGCAGGCAACAGGAAGTGGTCTCCAACACTGGGCGGTATCTTGAGCATGTATGAGACCTCAAAGCCCAACCCCCGCCCCCAGTGACACAAGTCTCCAACAAGGCCACACTTCCTAATAGTGCCACTCTCGTTGGGGGCCATTGTCTTTCAAACCACTACAAAGTAGCTAAATGCTAGTGACCAAAGGAAGCTGTCTCAGCAGTAACGGTACATGTGTGAAGTTCCATATACTAACACTGTAGGCTTTGCTGACTCACCCAGGTAAACTTCAGGAATGTACATTACTAACCCCCTGAGCCTGTCATTCTGGCTAAGTTTACATTGTCGTGATACTTGTTTGTTTTTGAAACAGTCTCACCTTTGTAGCCCAGATGGCCTTGAAACTCAGTCTTCCTGCCTTAGCCTCCTGAGCCTTGGAGTCCTGGGCATCACCTACTGCTGATAGTTTTGAAGGTATTAAGATAACAGAAAGAAGCCAACCAGAAAGAGACTGTACTTCATGCTTCCATTCATATAACTGAACAAAGCAAAAGTACAGTCACAAAGAGCAAGCCAGTGACTGCCAGAACTTAAGGAAAGGGAGGCAGAACGTTGAAGTCAGGACAGTTCCGTGTCCTGATCACAACCGTCGTTACATAACACTGTGCAAGCATTCACATTCACACTCAGCTTGACTCTGTATACATTTCAAAGTAAAAGCATGCTGTAGCAAGTATCAGAGTACTCATGGGTAGTGAAAGGATAAAAGGAAACTAATGATGTCCGTGGACTTACTGTCTTTGCAGCACAATAAGACGTCCCATGCTGTCTGCTCAGAACGCACAAAACTATGCAGAAAAGTCATTAGAACTGATCGGCTTATCAAGGACATGGCATAGAGGATTTATGTGTAAAAATAGTTGCTTTTCTGTAGACCAGCAACAAACAAATAACATTAAAAAATGCAAGGCCCCAAGAAATAGCTTAAATATACAACTATAAAAAATGTGTAACTTTAAATAACTGAAATATGTATATTTAGATTTTAAAGTATAAGAACTATTAAAATACAGGAAAACTTAAATACAAAGATGATTCTCTCAGATTAAGTGGTTGAATATTCTAGAGATGCTAACTCCCAAATTGATCTGTAGATTTTCACAGAACTTGATGAGCTGACTGTAAAATGATTGTGGAACAGAGGGCCCAGACTAGCCAAGAACAGAGTCGAAGTCATGTCCTCCTAAGTTGCTGGCTCGATTTCACTTCCATAGTTGAAACACTTGAATATTGGGACAAAGCTGGGCAGATAGACCAGTATGGCACGTGCCGCACCATCTGTGCTAATGTGGAACCTGATCCATGGCAGAGCAGTATTGCAGCCCAGTGGTGGAAGGATTGTTCTTTGAATGTGCTTAGAAACTGGTTATCCTCTGGGGGAAATGGTTAAAGTGGTGTCTGCTTTATACCAGTAGGACCAAAGGCTTACCATGAAGGCCACCACTTTAGAAAATATTTGGGAGAATCGTTCAGGGTAAAGAGAGAATCCTAGTCTTTATCATGGTGCCTTTCAGTCTTTACTACATTGTACTAAATTACAGAATAAATGTGAATAAATAACCTGAGCCAATGCAGTGACTTGTCCTTGAGTGAGGTCATCAGGCTCCTGCCCTCCTGTGCTTTCACGGGACAATGTTCATTCTCTGTGCCTCTGTAAGCAATACAGATGCTTCTCTGCATCTCCAGTCATTTTAGTAGGTAAGACCTTTTTCACAGTTACAGCAGCTTTGTCCTGTGTACTGACGCACATCACTAATACGTTTGCCTTTGTGTTCATTTATGCTTTGACAGTGCATGCCCATAGAGTCATTGGTTCACAGAGGTAGATAAATGCGAAGCATAGGAAAAGTCTTATTTATTGTTGGTTTGTTGTTAGCAGTGCCCAGGCATACCAAGTGGGCATAGTCAGGGCCAAGGTAAACAGAGCCAAAAAAAAATTGATAATGGCCTTCATCCTTCAACATTCCTTTTCTTTTTGTTGTCTTTTACTTTTTGGGTTTTGTTTTGTTTTTTAGATATTTTGCAAGAAGGGAAGGTCCCCACTAATGTTTAATATTTAAATATTAAGTAACTTTAGGAAATGTAGGAACTGTAATTTTTCCCTGGAACCCTCTCTAAGTTTGAGTTGGTTGTTGTTGTTGTTTTTTCTTATAGACACTGTTGATTCCATTACTCCTGACAAGGTGCGCGGCTTGCGGGACATGCTGAACAGCAGTGCGATGGACATAATGTACTATACCAGCCCGCTCTATAGGGACGAGGTGAGCATTGTGAGCATCTTGTCCTGGGAGTGTGCTTTATAGTGACATCCGCTTCTTAATAGTGAATTTGATCAGCTTCAGACCAGAGAGGCCTCGTAAGAACAACCACTTGGTGCTCCTTAAAAATACAGAGGAAGGCCAGACATGGTAGCACACACCTTAACCTCAGCACTCCAGAAGCAGAGCTACAAAGTGAGACCTATCTCAAAACAAGGAGAAAGGTACATGGTGGTTCACACCTGCAATCCCAGTACTCAGGAGACTAAGGCAGAAAGATTGCCATGAGTTCAAGACCAGTGTGAACTACAGAGTGAAGCCCTATCTCCAAAAAAGAGAGAATAATAAAAATAACACTGTTCTATAATGTATAGAGACTGGGAATGAAGGTATCATTCTGAACACATGGTTTATAAAATGTGCTTATATATATATGTATGTATATATACATGTATATGCAGGTGACCGTGTTTACATGCATAAATACATTTCCCAGCCATGTATACTAAAATAGCCAAAAAAACAAGGATCCCCTCATCACACTGAGCACCCCTCACACCCAGATGTTTGTAGTGCCTTGTTCCCATAGAGAAAATTACAATACCTCATGAATATAGCTCGTTCAGAGGCCAAAACAATTTGTGACAGAAACTAAAGAAATGTTCAAAAGAATAATGGCAGGTCACAAGGGTAGGAGCTGGAGAACCGTTCTAGTTGGCTGAATCTGAAACTGCGTGGGCACCAGAGTGGTTCACCGTTACTACAGGAGTTATTAGTACTTTAATGTGGGATATAATAATGACTGCAATAAAGGATTGTAAACCATTTTTTTAAATCTTTCATTTATATTATAATTTGAAAAATTAAGTGGGAAGCAGATAGGTCCCTTGCTTTTAGGAGAACGATAAAGCTGACAGGCGTTGGAAAGTCATTTTATAGCTGTCGTGGCAGTATTGGGTATGAGGAGACTGGACATGAATCATCAGTGACTATTAAATTGAGGGCAATGTTTTGGTTAGGAGCAGGCTAATTGTCTGCATCCCCGAAGTCTGCTCACTGGTCCATAAAAGAGAAACCATAATTACACACAGGAGAAATCAGGCAGCATCTATCCTGGGTTTTCCCAAGGGACGGATGGACATTGTGAGCCTTTGGATGTGATACCCAGTGGAGGATGCAGCATCCCCTGTGTGGTATCATAATATTGAGGAAATACCTGAGAAACACAAACAGGGAATGGAACTGGTGCTGTATTCTTTTAAATTGTCAATGTCATAAAAGACAGTTTTTATAGGAAACATTCCTGATCACAGGAGGGGAAGAGATCTGGTAAATACTCTATCCCATTTTCTGCTGACCTGTAGAAGATGAGGGAGCTGCAGGAATGGATGACAGAGCTGAGTTGTGCTGGTAGATTAGATAAAATATATCCAAATAGTGCCATGTGGCTGAATAATTTTACCAGAAATATTCTAATATTAGAGAATGTACAATGAAGTATTAAGGGATAAAAGATGACAGCATGTATACTATATCCCTCAAGTAATTACCAAAACTTTGGGAAGGTGTGCATTTGCATATTTACAGAAGAGAATACCACAAATGTGATAAATGCTAACAAGAGGAGAATCTAACTAAAAGATAATGTATGGGCTTTTTTAATCATGTGTTGTGAGGAGGGGATGTGCATGTGACTGCAAATGCCTATGGAGTCCAGACCAGGGCATCGGCTCCCTTGGAGCTAGAGTTAACAGTTGGTATGAGCCACCCTACATGGGTTCAGTTGAGAACTGAACTCGGGTCTCTGTAAGAGCAGTATGCTTTCATAATCCCTGAGCCGGCTCCAACCCAGACATTTGATTTTTTTTATGTTAATTTTACTTGGTAACATTTTGTATTTTCAACTAAAAAGTTCAAGAAACAAAATATTTAAGGGGAAAAACAGTTTTCTAGGTCCGTCCCCTAGAGGTTGTGATTCAGTTGGTCTGAAATAGAGCTTGTGTTTATATTTTAAATTAACAGTCCTCCTAGGAGATAACATCAGGGAATTCTGGGTATTGCTTTTTAAAGCATTATGAAGGACAAAAGGCATATAGAGGAAGAGGTGGGCAGAGGTGTTCTTGTTTGCTTGCTTGTTTACAGAAGACAGTCTGTAAATTAAAATCCCTCATACTGGGACCGGAGATGTGGCTCAGCAGTTAAGAGCACTTGTTGCTCTTGCATTGGATCCTGGTTCGGTTCCCAGCACCCACATGGTGGTTCACAATCATCTGACTCCAGTTGTAGGAATCCTAGCCCCCTCTTCTGACATCCTCCAGGCATGTGTGGTGCACAGACATGTATGCAGATAAATCATTCATCAAAAATAATCAGAAAAATTATAACCCCCTCATATTACTCTTTAACATAGAACGTAAAATAATCAGTGAATAGGAGGAGTGTGTTTGTTTACTGTGGTGAAGACCTTTGTAGTAGCAAAGTTGCCTCAAAAGAATTGACACTCCCTTCAACATGGAAATAAGAGACGGGGTGGCTGCTAAGCCACCACCAGCCAGAGGTGCCACAGAAGGCACTCTCATCTCCACAGCAGTTAAGTTAGGTCACCCCTTGATCTCTTGACTCCAAGATTGAGCTTCTTAAGGGAAAAACCCTAAGTTTGTTACTGGTCACCAAGGAGCCAGGGTTAGAGGGACAAGGCTGTGTGTCAGCTAGTCCTTCTCAATTCCCACTTTCTGAGAATTGGGTTTTTTAAAAAACATGAAAATTGGGTCCTTTTTGCCAGTGTACTGAAGTACTTCTGTGTTTACCTATTATAAACCTTAGAATCAAGACCTTCGTAAGTAAATAATAATACAGAGCTGGGTCAGTGTCTCACTGCCCAAGCATACACAACGTCCTCAATCCCAAGCAAAACACACCCGTGCTCTTTCTCTGAAACTGCTGCATGGATTGGAAGGAAGGAAGGTTTTTAATCTTAAGGATTGTTGATATTGTAAGAGCTCCCTCCAAAGAATTACAGCTCCCTTAATGAACAGCACACAGAGTAACATCGCATTGCACACTCCTTAGTCCTGGAGTTTCACCTACAGCCCATGTCTTAAAAGGCTTTTATATTCATTTGTTCTTGAACTAGTAGTTCCTAAAGTAGAGCTCTCAGGCCAGCAGCACCAGCATTTTCCAGGAACTTGTTTGTAATGCAAATTCCCAGGCTCTCCAGAGCCTCTGAGTCAAGAACTCAGAGCCAGAGCCCAGCAGTCCACTTTGAGCAGTCTGCCCAAGTGATTCTGATACATGTGAGAATTGGAGAACCATTGCCACTAAAGCACGGGACTCTTCCTCTCTCAGTCTCATTGCCAGGATATATTGCATCAGACATATTCCATAGTTTCAGTAGCTCAGATTAGCCTCAGTGTTTTATTGAATGCTTAGATGTCAACAGAGGATGCCAGAGCTTCGTGCATGTCATCACTGAGCCTCCCAGTCAGAAAGTTCAAGAGTGAATGCTGGTGTATGCCATCAGGTGAAGAGTGTTCAGTAGCAGCTGATAGAGTTTGGTTGTCTCTTGATATAACATGATTTTAAAATAGAAGCTGTAAAAAAAAAAAAATCTGTCAGAACAATGACTGGCTTGTTAAGAATGAGATGGGCCTGGAGAGATGCTCAATGGCTAAGAGGACTGGCTGCTCTTCCAGAGGACCCTGGTTCAATTCCCAGCACCCACATGGCAGCTCATCGCTGCCTGTAACTCCTGTTCCAGAGGATTCAACACCCTCACACAGATATACATGCAGCCAAAACACAAATGCACATGAAATAATAAAAATAAATAAATTTTTGAAAAAGAAGTAATGAGATAAAATGAATAAAAACTGAAAATTCATAACCAAATAGAAGAAGCAGTAAGAAGAGAGGACTGGGCTAAACTTCAGATCAGGGTCCAGGATACGTTGGAAAGAGAAGCCGCCTTCTTGTGGATTTGGGGGAGGGATTATTCAGTAGCTTTACAAAGACGACGTACTGAGCTGCTTCACGTCAGTGCTTTTATTAGTTAATCTCAATCACAGAAGTCATCTTTTATTTTTCTCTGTCACCAACATGATGAGATTTGAACTGTCAAGGTCTCTTGGTGATTCTTCCATACAGTAGCCTCTTACTACATTCTATTAACTATATAATATATATTTAATATATCTATTATAAATTTGTATTCTTTTTGTACCATGACTAAAACCCACACACTGTGAAAATTTAGAATTGACATATAGTGAGTTGCAGTGAAGTAGGAATTTCCAGGGGTCTTTGAAAATTTCATTAGACTCTAAAAGGAAGTATATTTCTGTCCTTAGAACAGCTGGCTAGTGTAATTGACTGAAAACCTACAAAAGGATCCTCATGGGTAACATCTGCCTATGGTGTACTCTGTGCTAATGGTAGGGTGTATAGCATATAGACATACCTCCATTTCTGTATCTTTGTAATGCACCTGAGTAAACTTAATAACCTGTTTATATTTCATCAGTCTTGTTTGTTTTTCTTCATAGTACATTTAGAAATAAAGTTTATAGCACTCAGTGAAAAATCTAATATGATTATATTTTCTTATTTCAAACAGCTAGTTAAAGGCCTTCAGCAAGAGCTGAATCGATTATATTCCCTTTTCTGTTCTCGGAATCCAGACTTTGAAGAAAAAGGGGGTAAAGTCTCAATAGTGTCCCATTCCTTGGGGTGTGTAATTACTTATGACATCATGATGGGCTGGAATCCAGTTCGACTGTATGAGCAGCTGCTCCAGAAGGAAGAAGAGCTGCCTGATGAACGCTGGATGAGCTATGAAGAGCGACATCTTCTTGATGAACTCTATATAACAAAACGACGGTAAACAACCTAAAGTTTTGAAAGAGTTGGAAATGTCCTTACGGAATTGCTGATGTTCTTAAAAGAAAACCTTTGGTCTGGAGAGGTGGCTCCATGGTTAAGAACACAGGCTGCTCTTTCAGAGGACCAGAGTTCAGTTCCTAGCACCCACATCAGGCTGCTCACCATTCCTTGAACTCCATTTCCAGGAAATAACATGCCTTTTTTTGTACTCACACATACGCACACAACAAACACCAGTGTAGTTATAATTAAAATTTTAAATAAAAAAGAAAAAGCTTTATGCTTTGTTCAAGGTAAAGATTACTAGATAACATACCTAACCTAGCTTTCAGTTAGTCATTTTCATTCTTTGCTTACATGCATTTTTCCACAGAAGAGTTTCATTTGCTGCCCTCCATCTTTGCTCATAGTTTGTTCAGGGTTTGCAGTGTGTAATCATTTGTTTTGCTGGTGTATAGAGGTTGGTCTGCACCTTTATTACTATTATTCTGAAAATAGTATTAAAACTTCGTTATTCTTGGCAAGTTATTTTACATGTTAGTTTTACTAACAATTATATAGTATATAATTATAAACAGATTTAATGATTATATGACCATCTGGGACCTTTGCTACATCATTATCTTAATTTATATTTGCACTCTCCATCTTCTTCATCCTCTTACTGATACAAGTTTATAATGAAAAACACTGATTCTAATAGTTTAGCATTTTATAAAGACAGCGGAAGTCAATTGACAAAAATTTTTACTCAGGCTTTGTTTTACTTTTAGAATGGTTGTCTCAGGACTTAACTGATTAGGTGCCGTTGACATAAATATTACGATAGCAAAATGATTACTAGTCTCAGAAGAAAATGGCATTTAGCCAGGTGTGGTGACACACACCTTTAATCCCAGCACTCAAGAAGCAGAGACAAGTGGATCTCTGAGTTTGAAGCTAGCCTGGTCTACAGAGCAAGTTCCAGGACATCCAAGGCTACACAGGAAAACCCTGTCGACACAAACACAAGAGGAAATGAGATGACAGCCCTCAGAATGGCGTTTTCAGATGTGCAGATTGAGTGAGACTTTTCAGTGGACCTGAATTTGATCCCCAGTGCCTTTATCAGACAGCACAACTACCCTATCTGTGCAGGCACACGTCCATATCCATTCACACCACCACCCTCTCTGTGCAGGCACATGTCCATATCCATTCACACCACCACCCTCTCTGTGCAGGCACACGTCCATATCCATTCACACCACCACCCTCTCTGTGCAGGCACATGTCCATATCCATTCACATGACCACCCTCTCTGTGCAGGCACACGTCCATATCCATTCACACCACCACCTTCTCTGTGCAGGCACACGTCCATATCCATTCACACCACCACCTTCTCTGTGCAGGCACATGTCCATATCCATTCACACCACCACCTTCTCTGTGCAGGCACACATCCATATCCATTCACACATACACACACATGATTAAAGATGAAATCTAAAAACATTTAAAAAAATTTTTTTTTTTTTTGGTTTTTCGAGACAGGGTTTCTCTGTGTAGCTTTGCGCCTTTTCCTGGGACTCACTTGGTAGCCCAGGCTGGCCTCGAACTCACTGAGATCCACCTGGCTCTGCCTCCCGAGTGCTGGGATTAAAGGCGTGCGCCACCACCGCCTTAAAAAAAATTTTAAATGTAGTCATGCACAGGCCTGTAATCCCAGCACTTGGGGAGTAGAATCAGGAGGATCAGGAGTTCAAAGTCAGCCCAAGCTACATGAGATTGTCTCAGAATAAGTAAGGAAATGCATATACATGTAATCAAGCCTGTCTTAGAAAGTGAGTTGTAGCTTTCTTGAGAAATGTATGTCAGCACAACTGAAGAATGTAATAAAACACGTGACTCAGATGTCCTTAGCAGAGAAGGGTTGAACGTGGTTCCTCGTGTGGTGGACAAATAATGGCTGTTTTAGAAATTAAAGTAGGTGAGGGCAATGCAATGAAAGACTTATAAAATTCATTACTAAATATGGAAAAGGGAAAAACATTGTTTTAAAAAAGATTGGAGCCGGGCGGTGGTGGCGCACGCCTTTAATCCCAGCACTCGGGAGGCAGAGGCAGGAGGATCTCTGTGAGTTCGAGGCCAGCCTGGTCTACAAAGTGAGTTCCAGGAAAGGCGCAAAGCTACACAGAGAAACCCTGTCTCGAAAAACCAAAAAAAAAAAAGATTGGACAAGAGAGTATAAAGTATAATTTTAAAGCAACATAGGTAGATAGGGTAGGTAGGTAGGTAGGGAGAGAGAGAGAGAGATTGGTAGGTAGGTAGGTAGGTAGATAATTATGTATATACAGGTATCATAAGAAGTCCCTGTGCAGGCCTTACGCCGTACAGCAGGAGCATTAATTAAACATTGTCACAGATGGGGGTTAGTGCGAGTGCCATCATTTGCTTCCTGATGTAGTAAAGCCTCTAATACAATGATGATTTGTAGTGAAACTATAAGTGTTTGTATGTGTGATCTCATACTGCCTCCTAGGCTGAGGGAAATAGAAGAACGTCTGCATGGATTGAAGGCGTCATCCGTAACACAAACACCTGCCTTAAAATTTAAGGTAAGGGAAGGGACCAGCTTCTCCTTGTCTCGGTACTTTTTGAACACTGGAGTGCGGAGTCCGGACACAAATGAAAGTTTAGCCGTGAATGGTTATGTGCTGTGTGCCTGGACGCTGCTGCTTCGAAGAACAGCGTGGGCAAGGTGGTTCTCCAGCCCCAGACTGTAACGGTGTGCAGAGCAGTCATGCACTGGCGAGGGGTGGCTTTCAGAGGATGAACACTTGTTCTTTACCTCAGTTTACATTTGGCCAAGTCAGAAGAGAAAAGGAAAGGGAGGAAAGGAAAAGTTGAGGCAAGCGTGTGAAATGTTGACTGTTTAGAACTAACAAAATGTCAGCAACAAGAAGAAAATAAAAGGAAATGGGCTGGCCTGAATTCAGGGAAGAAAGCTGGGCGCTTCCGTGTATGAAGTTTCCACAAAAGCCCAAGGCAAAGCTCCCAGGGTCAGTTTGGCTGGAGTTGTCAGGACTTGGCAAGGGGCTGTGAGAGAAGGGGAACTGCCATCTGCTTGAGAGGGGCAGAGTGGAACTGGTTTTTAGACTAGTAAAACAGCGCTCTAGGAACGCTTAAGGCGTTAGAGACCTCGGCACCTCGGCACCGACAGCACTGGGAAACACTCTCCCCTGCAGTGCTGAGCCTCTAACATGACCTCTGCGTGCACAGCGCACCACATGCCTGCCCCTGGTGTTTCCCTTCTCACTCAGGAGCTTAGTGTGCAGCTTAAAGTGTGGGGTGACTCTATGGCTTACACAGTTCCTCTTTAACTGGTATTTATTTTTGTGAGCATGGGTGAATGCCTATATGAATACGTAAAAACCATGTGTGTGCCTGGTGCCTGCAGAGGCCATAAGAGGGTGCCAGATCCCTGTAACTGGGCTCCCCCACACTGTGTTTCTTTTAACTTATACCATACATTTAAAAACTACATTGTTGAGCAGGGCTCATAACTCTGGCAAAGAGCTTGGCCCACGCACACAAGGCACTTGGTTCAATCGCTAGCACTGTGCGGGCGGGGGATGGGGGGTGGGGGCATGGTCAAATGGTAAAGTTGAAACATGCATTTAAAGAATATGTTCTCTGGAGTTATCAATCTAGAATTTGAATACCAGCACTATTATATATGATTAATGCTAATGTATAAATGTATCTGGTAGATAAAGAAAACTGGTTTTTACTAGAGAATTGGATAGGACACATTAAGTCTATTATGATCTTAGATTCAGTACCACATGACTAGAACCTGCGCATATAATTGAGTTTCTTCTGACGCAAGTCATGCATAGGTTAATAAAGGCTCCTCATTGTTATTTGGAGGGAAACATAGAAGTTGAGAATTAAGAAGGCCATCTGAGAACAGGGTCAGAAGAAAACAAGTTTTTCCTGTGGATAACCAGCAGCTGGATTGACCTTGAGGATGCTGGCGTCTGTCCTGTTACAGTTGACCACTGAGCTTCGAAACCAGGAAAAGAGCAGTGAGGGTTGTCAGCGTGCAGTGTGGACAGTGAAGCTTGATTCGGTCGTGGCTTTTGTCCTATCTAGATAGTAACGTTAGCCAAGTCATGTACCATTTCTGAACTCAGCTCTTGACTTGTCTCTAGACGAGGAAGCTAAACTAAGTATCTAAAGTTCCTTTTTGTCTTCAAAATTCTTTGATGGGGCTGGTGAGATGGCTCAGCAGGGAAGGGAGCTTGTCGTGCAAGCCTGGTGACGTGAGTTCAATCCCTGCAACCCACAAAAGGCAGAAGGAGAGAATCAGCTTTACAGAATTGTCCTCTGACCACCACATATGTGCCACGGTACACACATGCCCCCACATATACATCATACCTGTACACATGATATTTTAATGGTTTTTGATCATTTGACAGTCAGACTGAGAGAACAGTACTTCCGTGTTTGTCAGACTGCAGTCATCATAAACAAAACAACACAGAAGAAACGACTTAACAGATGTTTCTGGAGTGACTAGGCAATGCAGAAAGCGTTGTGCGTAGAATGTCATAGCTCTCTTGTCACCTAGTTTTTGTATATTGGGGGGCTGGTGCAAGTGTGTGGGGGCAGCTGGTGCATGCACTTGAATATGCAGGTGTGTGTGTAGGGGTGGGCCAGTGCATGCACTTGAATACGCAGGTGGGGGTGTGTGCTGGGACATGCACTTGAATACACAGGTGGGGGTGTGTGCTGGGGCATGCACTTGAATATACAGGTGGGGGGGTGTGCTGGGACATGCACTTGAATATGCAGGTGGGGGGGTGTGCTGGGGCATGCACTTGAATATGCAGGTGGGGGTGTGTGCTGGGACATGCACTTGAATATGCAGGTGGGGGTGTGTGCTGGGGCATGCACTTGAATATACAGGTGGGGGTGTGTGCTGGGGCATGCACTTGAATATACAGGTGGGGGGGTGTGCTGGGGCATGCACTTGAATATACAGGTGTTTGTCCTGCATACACACAGGTCAGAGTACAAAGCAGAATGTTTTCCTCTATCACTCTGCCTTACTGCCTTGGGATAGAATCTGGCACTGAACTAGAAGCTTTCCATTTTGACTAGTTTGCAGGATTTCAGAACCTTCACAATCCTGGGGTGACAAGCATGCATAACCACACCCAGCTTCTTTATGTGAATGTGAGGGATTCAAACTTAGGTCGTCAAGCTAGAAAGTAAATGCTCTCTCTTACCCACTGAGCCACACACCCCCCAACCCTTGTTTTTGCTTTTTGAGACAGAACCTCTGATATCAAGTAACCCAAGCTAATTACCCTGTAGCCCAGGCTGGCCTCAGACTCCCAGTCCTGCCTCAGTCTCATGAGTACTGGGATTACAGACATGAGTCACATGTGTGGCTTTATTTTCTCTTTCAGACCTCCTCTCCCCACTTTGTATAAGAACTAGGTCATACCAGCTGTGCCCTGTTACTTACAGCTTTTCCTTGGGCTGGGCAGCTTGGTGGCATGTGTGAGGGCTCTAGGTTCAGAAACACAAAGGCCCTATTTCAGAATATTCATTCAAAATAAATATTCGTGCATATTTTTTCACTCTGAAAATAAAAGTCATTCTGTGATCTTTTTGGAAAGAGTTACAGGTATATAAAATTGGAGGTCAAGACCCTGTCACAATATAGTTAGGGTGACAGATGATGGCTATTAGGAACAGAATCTGACTTACGTGAACCATTTATTCTGGTTCTTTCTTTCACTCTCCCTTCTAGAGTTCCCTCTTTCTCCTGCTGACTAAATGTAGTCAGTGTTCTAAGCACATCCTAGGCAAGCTCGTTGACTTTCTTAGCCTCACATGCTCTGACTACAGTGATGGTGGTGTGGATGTAGATGTGAATGGCAGAAGATACAATTCTGTATCCCCTGCTCTGACTTTTCACCCACATATTGCAGAGGTCTCAAACTTACCTGTGAACAAACATAAGATCTGGGGACAGTTTCCTCTGACAATGAAATTACATTGTTGTCTCTGGCCCATTCTTTATCGTCTCCGATCAAGCTTGTGACCCACTCTGTCCTCGATGTTCCCATTATGAATGACAGCTGGGCCTACACAACTTGAGATTATCTCTTGCCTCGTTTCTTTCAAGAGATTTTTTTCCCCAAAAAATCAATAGTATCTCAATTTTCTGGTGTATCCATACACACTACTACTAGGTTATGCTTCCCAGAGTATGGATTAAGTGCTGTTCTTCACTGCCTAAGATATAAAGCCCATCTTCCTTAGAGATCTGACAAGAAGACTCATGCACATGCGCACGCACACACACAGTTTTTCAGTCTTACCTGTGTCTTTTCTCAAAAATGCTCCAGTACCTTTCTCTCTCTGCTTTAGTCCATAGGAGTATCAGTCTTGTCTGTCGTTCTCCTAGCCCTGAAACCCCAGTCTCAACCGTAGAAACCCTTACTCTCTTGTACTGGTCACAGCACACCCCACCCTCTGTAAGGCCCTCAGAGTCGGAGGCTCCATTCCTTCCACTGTGCCTCCCACACGCCACTGTCAGCTCGGGAGCAGTGGCTCTCCCATGCTGGTCCCGACCATCACAGCATCTCGTCTAGCAGTGTGGTCACGTGTCCTAGCTCAGTACACCCTGACTAGTGAATGCTAGACACAATGACTGCTTCTCTTCACCTCCCTCCTTTTCTCAGTTTCAACTTGTTAGATTTTAAAATACTGAAAACCCTCCTGGAAGTAAATTGTTATAAAATCATTAATGACTAGTATGTAATTAACAAGTAATGTGGACAAAGCTTATACTTAGAGGTAATTTTATTGTTTGTATTTTATTATGTAACATGTTATCCCCAGATTCTGTTAAAAATAACGCTTCATCATTTTTTAAATTTAGGATGGCTCTTTTCATTTTAGGTTGAGAATTTCTTCTGTATGGGATCCCCACTAGCAGTTTTTTTGGCATTGCGTGGCATCCGGCCAGGAAATACTGGAAGTCAAGACCACATTTTACCTAGAGAGATTTGTAATCGCTTACTAAATATTTTTCATCCTACAGACCCAGTGGTGAGTTTTATTGTGAGCTTCCTAGATCCTGAACTGTTGCTCTGTGAGAAACCTTGTAAGGGGCCATGAACTAACAAGAGAATTCATTTTCTAGCTCATTGGAAAGGTTATATTTTTAACACCGTGTGTTGGTTCATTCAGAGTTGATGAAATAAAATATTAGAGAGGATCTTCTCCTGTAACACCTTACCAGGGACTGGAGAGATGGCTCAGTTGTTAAGAGCACTTGCTGCTCTTGCATAGGACCTGGGTTTGGTTCCCAGACCCACCCACATCAGGTGACTCACTACCTTCTGTAAATCCAACTTCAGGGGAGCCCTCTTCTGCCCTCCATGGGCACTGCACACCCTTGGTGCACATACACATAAATCAATCTTTAAAAAAAAATTATAAAAATAATACCCCTGGACAGCAGTACAAGAGACAAGCATCTATTAATTTCAAATCCTAACCAGTAATGATGCCAATGGCCTAGGAACAGAAGTCTTAAATCCTGCTTTAAAGGCTGGCAAGAGAACTCAGGTAGAGGTGCTTGTCACCATGCCTGACAGCCTGAGAGTACTCCCTGGAACCACGTGATGGAAGAGAACAGCACCTCCCACAGTTGTCCTGTATGTCTTGGTGTACAGACACAGAAATAAATCAGGAAATACAGAAACCCTACTTTATGTGCTGTTTACTAAAATGTCCTATGTAATTGAGATGAACCTAACAGATCCTCTTGAAAACATGAAAGGTAAAGCCATGCATTTAGTTGAGTCAAAATATAAAATACTCATTTTTTTCAATTTTCTACTATATTTGCTTTTTTAAATGTTTTTAAATGTAAACAGTCCAAGATCTTACATCTAGTCATAAATAGTGAGAGTCAAGAAGAGGTTTTTAGACAAGACAAATACTTTAGGCTGGAGTGTAGCTCAGTTTACTTAGTTTACTGGAGGAACCTGGTCTGATTCTCCACCACACAGTGAAGTTTTCTTACGTCTTGTTAGGGAGAACGGTCAGTCTAATGCACACACAGTAAAACTATTTTAAATAATTATCTGAAATTGGCTTTTATTATACTTGTGTGAAGTCTTTTGAAAGGTCACTAGCTACCACCAGACAAACACTGACAGACTCTGTGAATTTTAGAACGTCCTGTGTGTTTAAGCTATCAGCTGCCATGTTAAGAGAAAGCTCCAGCTGAAACGGAAGAGTGAAAGTAATCTTCTGCCAGGGGGACAGCCTCAGTCTGTCAGAGGCTCAGATCCAGAGTACAGAGCCGCAGTCCCTCGGAGACCAGCATGTCTGTATGTTCAGGCGCCTTTCTGCGCACGTGAATTCTGTCGTCTTTGTACATCTCAAATTTGGCTTTTATGTCTTGGGTTCTGGGATTTGAACCCACGCTTCCCATGTCCTAAGCATGCATCTTTCCACCAAGCTGCACTGCTTTTCTTTAATGCTTCGTGTGGACCTTTGCTAGGCCAAGGTCCTCCTATAAAACGGCTCTGAGATTCTGTGACCTAATGGCAAACCGTGACGGTGAGACTGTGCTGAGGCCCCGACGCTGCCCTACAGCTGATGGCTGGCTCGTTGCTGTAGGCAGCAGCCTCTCGTTGGCTGTCAAGTTAGGCTCTTACTGGAGTCATGTGTTTGAAATCAGGTGTATTAAACGATCTAAATATTAGAGATCAACCTTATTTGCCTCGTTTTGGGCTATCATCCACCACTTCAGCTTTGTGAGTCTGACATAAATCTTGTTAGACCATATCAGAATGTGGTAAAATTTAGTCTTTTTCACTGAAAATGAATTAATAGACACCATTAATCAAAACTAACTCCAGTTTTTTTTTATAATCTCATCATTAAGAATATGTAATTAGACAGGCACATATTTTAACAGTGAAAAATATAGAAGCATATTTAAGCCATTTTTAAAATTCCTGCTTAAGATTCACTTACTCAGCAGAGCTTTGGGAATAAACATTTTACTAAAATCCAGCCATTGTGTATTAACGTTGTATTTCTGTGCCTTTTTAACTATCTAGGCCTACAGATTAGAGCCATTGATTCTGAAACACTACAGCAACATCTCGCCGGTCCAGATCCACTGGTACAACACTTCAAATCCTCTACCTTATGAGCATATGAAGCCAAACTTTCTCAACCCAGCAAAAGAACCTACCTCAGTTTCGGAGAGTGAAAGCATCGCAAATATCCCGAGCCCCGTGACCTCCCCAGTCTTATCGCGGCGCCACTATGGAGAATCCATAACTAACATTGGCAAAGCCAGCATACTGGGTAATCGCTCTCATTTCTAGCCATGAATGGAAGCACTTAAGTTGGGGGAGTTGGAAATAGGCTGATAGAAAACTTCCAGCTGTCCATCTCCTGGAATTAGCTTCCCTGCCAACTGAGCAGAAGCTCTGACGTCCTGCACTTACAGTGGAGGAGAACAAGAAGCAGCATTCTGTCACTCGCTGTAGTCTTGGCCCCGTGACTTGAGGAGGGACCCTAAGAAATGCTGTTGTTTTTATGCTCCCCTCGCTCTCCCGCATTCTGGGAGAACCTCCCCATCAGGACTCTGACATCTTCTGAAAGTCAAGTCCTTTAGTGCTTTTGCTTCCTAGGGCAACGACTATCTCATCTGTCTTTGAGTAACTCCTGGTACCAGCACAGAAATTGGGTATTTCAGTGGCATACCACTGAGTTTGGCCTTTATTTCTGGCTTAGTGTCCTTGATCCAAATGCCACAAGAGGGCACTGTAAGTAGGCCTTACCCGCCAGACTTGCTTGGGTTTGACTTCCTGCCCAGAGGTTATGGAAGGCTTTTTATAGCATAAATTTAGTAAGACATATGCCTACTAATAGTAGGTATATGCCCCGTGTCAACAGCATGAGTTTTTGTTAGACATTTTAATTTTGCCAAATACTTCCATAATAATGAACATTTGAATACAATACCCTTTTGGTTGTATATTCATGTATCTGTATCCCTAGAATTTATACAACTTTATTCTTTTAACATCATTCTTACTTAGAAACCTACATAGAAATTGGAATTTTCTTAGGTCCCCACCCTGGAAGAAAATGAGTGGGCTTGGCCCGTCTGCCAGTTGGCTGTAATTATGGGTGGTGCTCTTCAGTGTGCTGTTGATGAGCAGAGATGAGTCAGCAGAGTGACTGCCCTGTTTTGTGACTTACAGGGGCTGCTAGCATTGGAAAGGGGCTTGGAGGAATGTTGTTCTCGAGATTTGGACGTTCTTCAACATCACAGCCATCTGAGACATCTAAAGACACAGTGGAAGACGAGAAGAAGCCTGTTTCTTCGCCCTCAACCACCACCGTGGCAACCCAGACCCTGCCGCACAGCAGCTCGGGCTTCCTGGACTCTGCATGTTAGTTCCTACAGTTCTCCTTGAGCTTACTTACCTCTGTAGCTTCTAGAGGGACGGGAGGGCGGGAAGACTGGAGGTCCCTGCTCAGGTCTGTAGAGAGAAGTTACTAGATCGTTTTAGCCAGGGCTCTGTAGCACAAGGGTCTAAATTATCAAGCACAAGACAGTCTGTGGGGTGAGTGCCTCTAGCTTTTACAAAGTACATTTTTAGTACAATCACCAAGGTTTAAATTTCACATTATCACTGATAGACGTGTCCTGTATCTGGCCTTGAGAGTTCTGAAAACACTGCTCTGTCCTGCAGCCAAGCACACTCGAATCCAGCTCTGTGAGACCTCCAAAGCTGAGGAATTTTATTGTGTCCCACTGGGTGTCTTCTATTCCTGCCCAGTTACCTAGTGTACAGTAGGGGTTTCTATGAGGGTACATGTCGCAGTAAGATGGAACTTTGTCTTTTTCCAGTGGACTTCAAATTTTTTTAATCTTACATAGCTGTGAATCACTAGTCCATCGGTGAACATTACTTGGAAGTGTCCAGTAACAGCACTAAGACCTTGGGTATTCCCACTGGTGATAAAGACAGCAAGTTCTGAAGCAGCTGCTCCCTTTCTGCAGCTAGCAGGAGGGATTGGCCTGCTCCAGTCATGTGACCGCCTCATTGCAGTTCCTGGTAGCATTGTGTTTCTGCTGTGTCCGCCACCCTGAATTTTGAAGGGACCAGCAACCAGGACAAGTCAAGGTGGCCTCCCAGAGGCTGCATGGTTCCTCCACACTCAACCCCCTCCAGAGTGGATGAGCAGTAGGGCTGAGCATTCCTAACTGGGCCAACAGCATTTTTCTTCCTTTTGAGTGCTAAAATTTATATTTGTGAGTCATGGGGACCATGTGTAAACAGTTCTTTTTAGACTTTGGTATCTGTATAAAACTCATTTTCCTCTGAATTCTTACGCTATGATCCAGTCATTTGTACCTAGAAACATGCCTGTGAGTGTATAAACTTTAATGACATGCAGTTCTGCATAACCTTGCTGCTGCACAGCAGAGACGCTGCTGCACAAGAGGGCCCATCCTGGGGCCAGACTCCCACGGCGACAGTGGAGACCCTCAGAAAAAGGAGTAAACACATACAGGTCCGAGCAAAGAAAATGTTTTCATTTTGGTTCTCACTACCGCATGTGTCTCAAATGGTAGTAGAGAAGCAGTCCTTCCTACTGTTGAGCAGTCCGTAGGTGCTCAGCTGGACAGCCTCGTCCCACATGTTCCCTGAGTCCTAGGCCCTAGTGTGTGCTCTGCATGCAGCCTACAGTCTGCGGAGCTGCGCCCCAGCCATGGTGTGTCTTGCTTGGATGTAAATGCTTTACCAGTCTTCATGTTAAACTCCACCCTTAGGCTCGACTGTAGCAGAGATAATCAGGAGTCTCTGTAGTCATCTCTGAGTAGAGAAGGACTGTTAAACTCAGACCTGTGACAATACAATTCTGTCTTAAGTCCCTCAGGATCTGTCTCAGTAAGTCTTTGACTTGCCTCAGTCTACCGCTCTGTGTCACCCTGACTTTCATGCTGCAATTGCTGTCTTGCAATCCTGAGACTTCTCTCCCTTCAGTCTTTCTGGAATTTGGCTGTGGTGATTAGGTGACTGAGCTTCCTCCCTCCTCCTCCTCCTCACACTGATGGCCTCAGCTCCTCAGGGTAACCTCTCTTCTGACGCCACTGTCTCTGAGTCTCTTATCTGAGGGTAAGGAGGACACAGACTGAACTCCTGACCAAGTGTCCTCTTGGAAGAGTAAGTGTTGTCGCTCGGTCTGCATTGTCTTCATCGAGGTGACACATCCCATGTGGCTCGCCGTCATTTCTTCCGAAAAGACCAGCTTGTTGTAGAGCATTTTATGCTTTCATTTCTCGTGCCCCTGTGTTTGTAACATGTTGTGAAAGGAAAGGATCTGTTTCCTTCAGGGGTTTTTGTTTGTTTGGTTTTGTTTTTGTTTTGTTGCCCTCTAGGTAGCTTGAATTAGTGCTAAGTTTGAGGAGTCTCGAGCTCTCAACAGATTCTGACATTACACTTGAGAATTGAATCGTGCTTACATTTTCCGTGCAGGAGCTCTTCACAGAAACCTAGGGGCGTGCTTCTTTGTGTGTGTGCTAGGCTTACTCAGCTTATTTGGAAGGTTGCACTAACGTTTTGGCCATCGCAACAGTGAAGGCCGTTTTGAACTCTCAGCCTTGACTTTACAGCATCTTGTTTGTTTTTTTTCACAGATTTCAGACTTCAAGAATCGTTCTTTTATCTCCCACAACTTCTTTTCCCGGAAAATGTGATGCAGAGTAAAGATGCTAGCCTCGGTATGGTGTATGTCAGGGGTGATGCTCGGCACACTGTGAGAATGGTCTACTTAGAGAGGCTCAGGGAGAACTGGAAGAGCAGCCTCAGTGCTACCACTGCAGACTATATGTGTATTTTCTCATCCTCAATGGTAGAGTTCATGACCACTTCAGATGCTAAAAAATACAGCACCCCTACAAAAGAGGGACTTCAGAGGCAGGAGAAAGGCATCAGGCCCCTGTCTGTCTTATTGTCCTCGAGACCTCGCACATTTCGCTCTTCTTTCCTGTCTCTACTTAGATGTAAGAAGGTTTCCTGTACAAAGAACTGCATCTCTCCTGCTTGTTCTGACGTCTGACGTTAGCGTTGGGTTATTCCAACACAAACACAGAACATTCTCCCCCTGGGTGGATCCTTTATAAACAGTGATACTGATGCAGAGGTGTTCTCAGCCTTCCTGTCCAGCACACTCCGAATCTATCACTGAGGACTTATCTAACAACTTAAAATTCCTTTACTGACTGATTTCTCATTCTTTCTTCTAGAGTTTCTCTCTCTTTCCTGTTTTTCTTACTAATAGTGAATTTTATCTTTGATGTTAAAAACGTGTTCAGGATTTTCTTTGGTTATTTTAGCCACCTTTAATTTTTCGTACATCTTTTTCAATTATCAAAAACCATACTACTTGATATATTTCCCAAACAGTGTTTGAGTATAACAAGCTGGGTCCTTTTTTTTGCCTCCAGAGCAGGAGTTTATATTGACCTAACTCAGTAAATTGCCTTCAAGAAGTTACTTTACATAAGAATTCCAGTTATATAGCCAAACATTTCCTTAAAAAATAACGTAATTGGGCTGGAGAAATAGCTCAGTCAGGAAAATCCTTGTAAGAGAACCTGAGTTCAAGCCTCAGAACCCACTCTTTACAAGCTGGGCACGGTGGTACATGCTTTTACTGCAGTTCTAAGGGTGCGGAGATGGCTGAATCCTTGGGCCCCTCTCCTGCCAGCCTGGCCTCGTTAACACGCTCCGAGCCAATGAGAGGTACTGTGTGAAGAACCACACAGAAAAGGAGAGACTTCAGGAGTGACTCCCAATGTTGTCATTCGGCCTGGGTGCACACATGCACCTGTTTTCAGCCACAGATGCGCTCTGTTTCTCTCCACCTGCCCAGGAACAAGGTCTGTCTGTCTGTCTGTCTGTTTTTTAACAGAGTTTGCATTTAGGTATTTGAAGCATAGAAAAAGAAGAAAAGGTAATTTTACTTTCTCCTTCCCCATGATCGCAGACAGCTAGAGGAACTAGGAGCATCCATCACCTGTGTTGTCCTAACAGGTCTTGGTATGATCATACCGAGACAGCGGTCCATCTGCGTCTGAACCTGTCTGGCCAAGAGCATATTGTCCAGCAGTACAAAGTGGTACTGCCGTGTAGAATCTCTCTCCCTGGGAGAGGCTGTGAGCCACATAACAGGAAGAGAGGAGAGGGAGCACAACCCCTCTTCATTTCCACCCTGATCTTCCCACAAAGCCAGCAAGATGTGCAGTAACTGCACTGAGGACACAAAGGAAGTTGTGAGGCCAGAACAGGTCGGTGGGGAAGCTGGCTACCTAATTTGCATTTTGATGCCTCTAACCCAAGCCCAGTGATAGTGGGAAAGCACAGACGAAGCCCATCTAGGTAACAAATAACCGATGTCCCCAAAAGTGACAAGAATGACAAGGGCCCATAATAAAATAGAGTAACCACTTTATGAAAGCAGTGTTTTAGGACAGTGGTAGCATGGCAGTGGTGGTGCACTCCTTTAATCTTGGGAGGCAGAGTCAGGTAGGTCTCTGTGAGTTCGAGGCCAGCCTGGTCTACAAAGCACGTTCCAGGACAACCAGAGCTACACAGAGAAACCCTGTCTTCAAAAAAAAAAAAAAAAAAAATCAGACCTTAAAACCAGAGTGGAGCCAAATAATTCCTGTAGCAGGAAAACTGTGCCTTTGATTTGAATGTGTAATGAAGAGTTTTGGACTAAAAAGGATTGTGCAGCAGCATTTGAGGTGGAACCCTCCCAGATCACACACTTACCTCTTCTCTTTCTCTGTAACCTACTTCATCTTGACTCCACGTATCATGTTGGAGAATTCCGTTTTCTCATTTCCTATTCTGGTCTGGTGTGAGAGAGTGTCTACCAATCTCATGTGAAGGCCCATGGAGTGCAAAAATACAGGATTAGGGCATTCTTACCTAAATCCACATGGATTTCAGCAATTTCTTACATTATGGATTAGTTTTATTTTAATTAAGTGAAAAATTTAGAGTAAAAGAACTTTGTGAAAGTTCTATGTCGGTGTTTTATACAAGTATTTTATAGGCTAGAAGGCATTTCACTTCTTAAGTATAAATCTTCTCTGAGCGGATACATAGATAAATTTACAAATCAGAAAAGTATAACTGAAAGGTAACTACTATATGTTTATATGTTGTCAACCGCTGTTACCACAAAACAAGCCCTGTTTAAGATTAGCATTAGCAGCTGGGGGGAGGGGGGGACACCTTTAATCCTAGCATTCAGGAGGCCGAGTTCTGAGTTTGAGGCCAGTCTGGTCTACAGAACGAGTTCTAGGACAGCCAGGGCTACACAGAGAAACCCTGCCTCGAAAATAATCAACGACAGCAACAACAAAAAAATAGCATTATCAAACATTTATTTAAAATAATTTTCTAGAGTGGTAAGATTTCTTATGTGTGACTGCCACATTCCCAATATAAAGCAAAACCTAGTTTTTTTCTCCAGCCTTCTTTGTTTTTGTTACTTTTTACTTTTGACATCCTTTGGCACTAAACAGAGATGTTAATAAGTATTTGGTAGTGACCTGGGTGTTTTTGTTTGTAAGACAGATCATTCAAAGTATTGTATGGTTCATGAACAGTTTTAAAAGAGACCCTGAATATACTAATGCCATTTTTTTTTTTTCCGAGACAGTGTTTCTCTGTGTAGCTTTGGTGCCTATCCTGGATCTCGCTCAGTAGACCAGGCTGGCCTCGAACTCACAGAGATCCTCCTGGCTCTGCCTCCCGAGTGCTGGGATTAAAGGCGTGCGCCACCACCACCCGGCATTATACCATTTTTTTAAAGTATGTATTGTGTGTATATGCAAGTAAATGATGTGTATACATGAGTCGGAGGACACCTTGTGGAGTTGCTTCTCTCGTTCACCCTTTTCATGGATTCCAGGAAGCAAACCTAGGTTGCCAAGCTTATGCCATTCCTCCAACACTCGTGATATCATTTTCCCAGTGTGTTATCTCTGAGGGTCTATTACATTAGCCCGTTAAGATTTGACAAGAGCCTTGATCTGTGCATTTCTCTCCACTATTGCGAGGACTGTTGGTGGGTTTTGGAAAGGCTTAATTGGATACATGGAATTGTTCGAGGGCAGGAAATTATAGGTAAAGCCCTTCCTCCTACAGGATATTCCCGCAGTTTAATTTATCCCACCACATAGTGGGTTCTTTTGAGTGCTTGAGTGTCGAATGTTGCAGGCACAGGCTAGACCCTGCTAAATAGATGCAGTCTGATATATGTGTGGCAGCTGCCTCTAAGGAATTCAGCCTAGTGGGGAAGAACACTGTTGTAAGATGATGATAATAATAATAATAAGTAATTTAAAATTTTTTTTAAAAAAAATGGTTGTTGTGGAACATTTCCCCACAGAACACGTCCCCAATGAGGAGGCGTCAGGTGACCTCCCCACTTCCCCGGGGATACAGGAAATTCTTCAAAGAAGGGAGATAAGAAATAGTCTTCTAATGCCAGAAATATGCCATGATAGCAAGTGAATTTTTGTTGTTGTTTCCTTTCCTTATTATTCTTTGCTGACTGGAGCAATGGAACAGAGCCCACCGGTAGAACCCTAACAGCTTCGGCTTTTTTACTGCCCCATAAATTCAGAGTGAGGAGGGTAACAATTTAAAGCTCATTTCCGTTCGCCTGCTTTCCCCCAGCTGTCTGCAGCCTGCACCAAACACACCATAATCTTCACTGAACTCTTGTCTTTTCAGTGGAACTGGAGCACAGGATTGACTTTGAACTCAGAGAAGGCCTGGTGGAGAGCCGCTATTGGTCAGCCGTCACGTCGCACACTGCCTACTGGTCATCCTTGGACGTCGCTCTGTTCCTTTTAACATTCATGTATAAACATGAGCGTGATGCTGCAAAGCCCAGCCTAGATCCAATCTGAACTCTCGAAGGATACGAATGGCCCAAAACTTGGTTTTCTGTTAAAATGTGTCAAGATATGGAGATATCAAGGTTCCAGTTTTGTTTAGGGCAAGAAATACTTTAACTTAAAAGCACCTTATTTTATTTTTAAAAGAGAACAAAAACACATTTTCAGTTCTAAAGAAGTTCTTTACTGTTTCTATAATTTTGATTATGAGTCTAGCCAAGCCCCTGCAGAGAATCACCCGGCATGGAAGTGTGGAGGGTTTAGGAGAGCTGCGTGAAGGCAGCCATCACAGTCTAGTTCTCCAGGAGTCTAATTTAATGTATTAATCTAAAGCTGTTGTAACTCTGAGGTGGTCAGAGTCCAGTACGTTCTGTGAAGACCACAGGTGGCATCATGGTTGGATTCTGTGAAGGCTTCCGTGTCCACAGTTCCTTTGAAAGAAGAATATAACAAATTTAAAAAGTTCTAAATTTAACTTGTTTAAAAAAAACTAATGCTAGAAAGCAATATTTGAACTACTGTACTTATAATTTATTATCTCTAGTTAGTTCAGTGTATGAAACATTACATTTTTTTTTTTTTTTTTTTGTTTGGGTTTTTCGAGACAGGGTTTCTCTGTGTAGCTTTGCGCCTTTTCTGGAACTCACTTGGTAGCCCAGGCTGGCCTCGAACTCACAGAGATCCGCCTGCCTCTGCCTCCCGAGTGCTGGGATTAAAGGCGTGCGCCACCACCGCCCGGCTTACTTTTTTTTTTTTTTGTTTGTTTGAAACATTACATTTTTAATGTTTCTTTTGAGCCACATTCATTTTGTATCATGTTGAGGCCCCTTTTTCTCAAAATCCATCTTTGTACCATCAGATGACCAGATGATGCTGTGGCATACTTTCAGGTTTTGGGGGGTTTTTTGTTTTTGTTTTGTTTTTCATTAAAAACATGGTTTCACACAGCACTAGTTCAATTTTTTTAAAATTTATTTTTTTATGATGTCACATGTACCTCAGGGAAAGCTGAAAGTTGTCAACACAGGGACTCCACATTGGGTTATGTATTGGCTGTGTTGGGAAATTAGGACACACCTTTGGGCTAGAGAATGTGAGGACTGGAAATATATAAACAGCTGTGTGCCAAACAGCTGACACATGTGAAGGGTGGAATACCACCAGCATGTAATATTTAAAACTCTAAGGAAACATGGAGACTTGGGCCCAGTCCACGGACACTGAGGCACTGGAGGGTTTTCTGGGCTGTAATTATTTCCACAGTGCTTTTCATCGGAAGTGTGCATTCAGCGACCTGTGTAGAAGCTTCCTGAGGTAAGTGAACACATGCTACCATGTCACATGTTTATATACTGAGGCACCAATATTTGAAGTGCCTTGCATTAGATTACACAGCAAATCAAGAGCGTTTGCATTGAAGCCAGACCATACCCTTTTCTGTGCTACCTAATGACTTCGCTCCCATGTGACCCTGAGGAGTCTGCAGTTAGTAAGCTGGAGAATGACTGTGAAGCCCAGCGTTACCTCCAGATACATTCTGGACTCCGACAGAAGAGGGGTTCACTTAAGGCAGCAGGAGCTGTCCTTGCCATGGCCAACACTGGCTTCCGGGTGGCTCTCACTAGGTTCCACTCAAGGTGCTCTTTCTCATGGAAGGGATTTTGTAGCTGCTGGGAGCAGAGCCAGTCAGCCCACATCTGCCCTGCTCTTTTCTCTGCAGGGTGGCAGAGCCCATGGCTTTGTGGGTGTTACTTCTGGTCCTCAGTACTGTCGGTTCCTCGCTGTCCTTGAATCTGCTCGACACTCAGCACCTCCTTCTAGAATTCCAAGGCTGCGTGACCAAGTGCGTGGCTCACAAAAACCCTTGCTGCAAAGGCTTTTGATGAATCTTAGCAGAGCTGAGGCATCTTTCGAGTTTGGAGATTCCTATAAAGGCAGGTCATTTTCGTAGCCTATTTATTTAGCAGGTCTCTTTTAATTCTCAGGAAAATTAAGCTCATATCGTATAGCTTTCGTTAAAGGTAGTTGAGTATGTGTTGGATATCAACTGAAAAGTTGGCTTTCGTAAGCAAAGGAGTATGTCTGCTTGCTTTTCCTCACACGGCAAAGCAGTTGACATAAACACTGTTTGAGTTTATGTCAATTCTTGGAAAGAACAGCATTCAAAGCACCCTTTCAATGAAAAGTCGATGTTCTGCACCTCTGGACAGCTGTTTCCAGTTCATAATTTCATCAGTGCCAATGGAGAGTTTGGTTTTATAGCTCTTGTCTCTCCATCTCTGCATGTAATCATTGGATATGCTGTATATACTAAAGTAATATACAGAGTATGTGTAATTCTGACTTGATTTAGAAGCTAAGTCAGTTACCGAGTAACAGTTTGCAATTTTACTCCAGCAAGTACTAAACTGGCCCCCAAAAGTCCTGATTTTGATACTAATTAAAATTCTATTCTCTAACCTGTGTTCATATTGAGTCTTTTGAGTATTGATCATATCAACTTTAACCCAGTTAGGTTGGATAAGGAGAATGTTTGGAGTTCAATCTTATTTTTCCTTTAAAATTGACCTTTCTAAGGCTTTTTATTCATAACTTTATTTTTAGCAGTAATTGCACTTTTCTTACAGTCCAATCTTAACTACATTTTAGGACATAATTACAAAATAATGCTGACTCTCCAAGATAATGCTGACTCTCCAAGCCTTGAAAATCTTAGGCTTTTCTCTATCAGAAAGTAAGCTTTGGGGCTGGAAAGATGACTCAGTGGTTAAGAGCATTGGCTGCTCTTCCAGTGGACCTTAGTCCAACACTTACATGGCAGCTCACAGCTGTCTGTAACTCCAGTTCCAGGGGATCCAACACCATCACAGACATATATGCAGGTAAAAAACAATGTATATAAAATTAAAAGTAAATAATTTTTTTCAAATTAAAAAAAAAATTAGCTTTTGTGCTTGTTTCAAAGACCTCGGACCCAGAAATTCTCATCAGTCTTTCTCTGTGCTATGTCCTCATTGGCAAAACCTCCCTTCTCTGTGAAGCATTTAACACCATAACCAAATGAGGCCCAGTAGTATGCCTCTGTAATCCTAACACATGAGAAGCTGAGGCAGAAGGATTGCTATGAGTTTGAGGTCACCCTGGGCTAAAGGTAGGTTAAAGTGGGGCCAGGTAGAGTTGTAATTCAACTAGTAAAGTGTTTGCCAAGCATGCATGAAGTATTGGGTTTAATCCCTGTCAACACCCAAACCCAGAGCACACCTGTAATGCCAGCACTTGGGAGGTAGAGGCAAGAAAGATCCTGATCCGGTTGTCCTCTGCTGCATAGTGAGTTTGAAGTACGCCTGGGCTGCTGCTATACACAAACCAGTGACGTGGGAAAGAAATCACGAGCCAGTGAGATGGCTCGGGGGCTAAAAACACTGGCTGCCAAACCCGACGACTTGAGTTCAGTTCCCAGAACCCACGTGGCAGAAGGACAGATCTGGCTCCCATAGGTTGCCCGCTGTCCTCCGCGCACTAATGTCGTAGTATGTGCATGCCCTCACACATGCATTCGCACAGTAAATATTTAAGGTCTGTGTCATGTCAGCGGCTGCGACACTCATTACAGCAGTGACACCTGAACCCCATGAGGTGGCGTCAGACCAAACGGGTTTGTCTGGCACACCTGTTGAAGATAAGTAGTTGGCCCTCCTCCTCATCAGTTACTATTTATTTCCTTGGAGTCTAATGAATTAGACATTTCAAAACTTGAGAAACTGACCAAAAGATCTTTAAAATGTTTTGAGTTTTTGAATCTTCAACTATTTATGGAAACAGGCCAAAGAATGATGTTAGTGATCGTCAAGGCAGGGCTAAAAACAATAATGTACCAATAGTGTCTGGAAAAAAGAAACTGCCAAACTGAGTGTGGGAGAGTTGTGGTCTGTTGATTCTCGTTTCCGATCTTGTGTCCCTACTCGGTTGCCACCCTGACCCCTGGCTTTTGCCAGGAACTGGTGGCACTCAGACTGAATCTGAACCATGAAACTCACATTGCTCTTGACCCCTATGGTGCTAGCACCTGCTAGATAAACACACCCCCTGAGAAACCCCTAGTATTGTGTGATGGTGACCCGAGAGTGTACATCCTGTCTTGGTCATACACTTGAATATTTTCAAAGAACTCTCAAATTTTACAGTCTGTGTAGAGTTTGTGAAATTTCTTGGATTTGTTTTATGTCTCTAAGCATTGTGCTTGCGTGTGCAAAACCTTCACCTGTGTGCCTGGTGCCAGCAGAGATCAGAAAAGGGTGCTGAATCCCCTGGAACTGGAGTTACAGATGGTTGTGAGCCACCATGTGGTTGCTGGGACCCGAAACCTCTGCAAGAGCAGCCTGTACCCTTAACCACTTCACCATTGCTCCGGCCCCGCCCCCCACCAGATTGTATAGATTTTAGAGTCATCTCTTTCAACCCTGTGAGTTTCATGAAAAGTAGAGGCTGCAGGCTTGGCAGGCCACAGAGCGCAGTGACTGGGGGAAGCAGTCGGTTCTCCAAGGAAAGATTAATAGAGTGCTAAAGCCAGAGCAGTTAGAAAGATGGGTTTTCCAAAGCATGGGCTGCGAATGTTAATATGTCATGCCAGAAAATAAGTGGGAAGTAGCAAAAGTTTCAAAAGTTTCTTCAGGCCAGGATGGTGGCACATGCCTTTTGTCGAAACTCTAGGAAAGCAGGGACAGGTGGATTTCTGTGAGTTCAAAGCCAACCCGGTCTCCATAGAGAGTTCAGGCCAGCCAGAGGGGAAATCTTTCATAGGAGGATGTAGGGAGCCTGCTGTGTTGAATGCATTTCACACCTGCCAGGTGCTGCTGGGAGGGGGAAGGGGAGAGGTGCAAACTTAGCTATAGGACTTGTTCTCCAGCTGGGGAAATCCTGATCACAGGTAATTCCCTCATCCTGCGGTTTTGCCCTCGTCTGGAACCTTCGTCTTACAAGGCAATGCTTCCACCCTGCTCAGGTTAGGTGTTTAACAAGGAACAGAACCTCCTGTCCTGTTTTGTACCAGTCTGCCTGTTTTAAAAAGTTAATAGGAAATTTTGGGGGTAGAAAGTGGCTTCATTTTTGTGGGGTGCACACCCCTCTTAGGCATTGCTTATGACAAGATATTAGCTGAACCGTCCATAACTTGTATCTGGAGTTGATCCAACCCTTTTCTTTCAAGTCTCGTGAGAGAGTCCGAACATATCTGAAGAGACTGCCTTGCATGTCTGAGACTCCTAATACCCAGGGGCAGGGGACACAAAACCCAGGAGGACATTCATTAGTTTTCCTTTCTGTTGACACATGCAGATGTGATAAGGAAGGAAGCAAATGCAACAGGATTGGCATTTGCCCCTCTGTTCTTCCCGTATCATTTACTTTGATAGCATCCAATAAAAGTTAACTCATGCACCTTAAGCACTGTATTTTTGGAGACCAGGAGGAGCATTTTTGCTGACGATGCATGTGCTCCCCAAAATAGTCTCTTGTAGATTGCTAGCATGAACTCTTCCTCTGCTTTTGTTTGAACGAGGGTGGGTCCCTGCCTAGCATTGTCTCTCACCCTGTGGCTTTTCATTTATATGTACCGGAGTGCAGCTTACTTCCTCCCCACCCTGAAGTTCTCAGGATATGTTGGGAGATAGCCCTTAGGAAGATTACTAATGCCTGACCAGAATTCGGTCGGGGTAAGATAAAAAACAGACGTGGTCCTCAGCCCAGGGAAGACTGGTCTCGGTCATCTGTGGGCACCAACCCAACCACTACAGATTATCAGGGATCATGAATAGTGTGTTAGAGAGTTTACACTGAGCCTGAGCATCTCCTAGTTTACTTGGAATATATGATGTAAGGTACATGCTTTGCAAACAGCTATATTTAGGAAGTAATGGGGGGAAAAGTGTGTTGATGTTCAGTACTGATGCGTTTTCAGTTGTTCCCATCCTCACTTGGTGGATCCATGGCACTATAGAAGATGACCAAGCATTGGTACATCACCTTTAGTGCTGTCTCCTGGAGGACATGGACTATGTAACAGCATCGCTCATAACGTCCCTTGATGATGGCCACACCCTCTGCCTCGTGGCCTCTAAAAACAGTAACTGATCCCACAAAACTTCATGAAAGAAAGTTAACCCTGTTCTGGTCCTCAGCCTGTCACAGTAAGCCCGCTCTGTGGTAGAGTCTGAGGAAGGCTTCCTTTCCCTTGTTCTGCATTGTGACTAGACAAGGCAGGCAAGTTTTCTGACTCTTCAGTTTTGTTGAAGCATCCATGGTTCCTATTTATATTTATCTCTTCAGTAATCAACTTGGATGGCATTAAACCATTTATGTCAATGTCCAGTTCTGCCTTTTCTCAACCAGAATTTAGTTGATGCATTTATGAAAACTGAAGGAGAGTGGAATCTGCTATTAAGCTATGGTTACTACATCCTATTCTACTAGATACGGTGGCTGCCATGTTCCTCGACATCAGATGAAAAAGTCTACATATGACACATTCTGTTCTTACAGAGTGCAGTGCAGTCACAGATTCAAGTTTGAGGCGAACCCAAAAACCTGTGCAGACTGGAACCGGCTGCTGCCATGTTCTTCCTCACTTGCCCTCTGCTTGGTGCCATGGTGACTAAAATGTGCTGTTTAAGTATAGCTTGTTTTCAGTCTGAATTTGAATACTGAATAAAAGTAGCACATGTTTTGGATTTGGAAAGTAATATGGGCAAGGGGACAGAGAGTAAGCATGATCCATCCAGGAGAGTAGCCGAGAGGCAACATCGTCACATAGGTCTGACCACAGCATCCCTTCACCGGAATGAGCATTGATCACTTAGAGCTACAGCAGGCCAACCTAACCACTGTCACACCCTCCACTGACTGTCCTCACTGACCTCTTCCTGTCCTAGCAAACCAACCATTCCCATTGTTACAGTGGCTACTGTTTCTGTCTACCAGGCGTCCTGCTTCTACCTCCTTGTGGTCCCTTTCCCCACTGTGTGACACTCTGCACTAGTCCTGCTCACTCAGTTCTGTCAGGAACCAAGAAAGTCTGCCAGGGTGGTGGCACATGCCTGTAATTCCAGGACTTGGAGAAGCTAGGGCAGGAAAGAACAGCCTGAGTTCTGAGTCAGTGTGGACAACACAAGGAGCTTCCATATCCCACCCCCCAGTTCAAATTGTGTCCAAGTGCGAGCCCCATGTAAACCACGGCCACTGTGCCATGGCCTAAGGAAGAGTTCATGACTCAGGACAGACTTCATTTCCTACCCCATGAGCCATGCTGATGAGCCAAGAGATAAGCACATGACCCAAAGTAGAGGGCGGGGGTTTTTGTGGAATTGTATTTGCCAGCCTCAAAAATGCAGATAACCTACTGTAGCTACTAGGCATAATCCAATGGCATCTGGTATCCTTGTATGACAGGTCATGTCAATCTTCC